AACCTTAGGCCTGTCCCTGGGAGGACCCCCCCCCTGCCACTGTGTGGCCTCAGCTCTGCCAAGAGTCACAGGTGAAGGCACAGTAGAGGCAAAGTCAAAACTCCCTTCTCATAATCAAAGAACTCCCTCTGAGTGCCGGGATGCAGCAGGACACGCAATATCATACTTCTCTTCCTCCAGGTCTCCCTCCTGAGCCATGGCTGGATGCCAGCAAGACTTTCCCCAGCCCGAGATGCTGCAAACCCCTCAGTCTGAGGTTCAGGCCAGAGGGTATATATTCTACAAGTATTCTTTGAGGGCCCATGATGTGCCAAGCACTGTTTAGCTATTGGGGTGGGATAAGCCTTCGGAACAAACAAAGATTGTGCCCTCATGGAATTTGTGTTCTAGCAAAGGGGAAATCCTACATATACAATGTAATAAAGGCGTAAATTGCACATATGGCTGATGGTGGTAAATGTGGTGGAAAAACTGCCTACCAGGGCAACAGGAAGCAGGTTTGCAGTACTCACAAGTAGATCTCAGCCAGGCACAGGGGCTCATGCCTGTAATCCCAGCACTTTGGGAGGCCGAGGTGAGAGGATTGCTTGAGCCCAGGAGTTCAAGACCACTCTGGACAACAGAATGAGAACTCATCTTAAAAAAAAAAAATCAGCTGGGCATGGTGGCATGTGCCTATAGTTCCAGCTACTCAGGAGGCTGAGATGGAAGGACTGTCTGAGCCCAAGGGGTCAAGGCCGTGGTGAGCCATGATCGTTCTACTGCACTCCAGCCTGGTTGACAGAGTAAGATCCTGACTCAAAAAAAAAAAAGAAAAAGAAAAAGAAAAAAAAGGTAGACCTCACAGAGGGGGAGATATGTGAACAGACTTGCTAGAAGAATGGGCTCAGTCATATAGTTACTGAGGAGGGGAAGGGTGTTCTTGGCAGAAGGAATAGCCAGTGCAAAGGCTCTAAGACAGAGTATGACTAGGTCAGAATATGTGAGGGAGAGAAGTAGGAGAGGCGGTCAGAGCCAGACTCTGAAGCCTTTTGAATCCATTATATGCATTTGGCATTTAAGTACAGGTAGCTGGAAAGCCATTGGAGAGGTTTCAGCAGCAGAGAGACCTAAGTCCTGAAAGGATCATCCCAACTGTAATGCTGAAAGAAGCTGGGGTAAAGGGAGAAGCAGGAGGCCTCAGAGCGGCCGCTTCAATAACTCAAGAAGAGATGCCAGTGACTGAAGCCAAGCAGCACCATGGTGGTGAGGAGCAGACACGTTCTGGACGTTACTGGAATCTGCGGATGGTTGGGTGTAAGGCCAAGAGAGAGGAGTCCAGAGTGGCTCCAAGGCCTTTGGGCCAAGCAACAAGAGGGGAGTTGGGGTTTCCAGATACAGGGAAGGCCAAGGGTAGAGCCTGTCTCAGGGGAAAATCAGAAGTGGGAGGTGGATATTTGGGTTGGAGATGCACAGAGGACATCCAGGTGGAAATGTCAGGTAGGCAGCTGGAGACAGAACCTGAGCTCCCTCTGCTGAGACTCAGAGCATTCACTAGAGCAAAATTCAAGTCTTCTGGCAGGTGGCAGGAAGGATGGTGACCTCCAGAGCTGAGACTTGGAGGTATGTGAAGGGCGGTGCTGGTTGTCTTCAAAAGGGCTGGGGAATCAGATAGCCAGAGAAAAATAGATGGTGCCACCTAGTGTGAACTGGGACCTCCATCTGGTCCCCAACATGAAGATATCCTGTCAGGCATTCTGATCCCTAGTTGACCTAAAATCCCTCAGAAAAGTTTTCTGGGGTTTACTCCCTGCCATACAAAACCAGGAAAGTATTACCTAGAACTTGGCCGTGAGCTGCTACTGTCCCATGTGCCAGGCATGATACTGGGCATCTGATTCCACCTTCACAAAACCCTATGCCAGAGGCATCGTTGGCCCCAGTTAACAGAAGGCATCTGCCCAGTGCCACAGAGTCAGTACAAGGTGCTGGGAGTGAAGTTGGCTCTTTGGCAAGTGCAGGCCCTTGCTTCCCATCAAGATTCCCCTAGAACAGGCACCCAATGCCTAGGCTGGGCTGTGGGACTCTCTGCTCCTTACCAGTTGAAGATGTTGTTCTAGACTCACCTCCCTTGTATGAGTGACCTTCTTTAACACAAGTGTCTTCATCAGGACTGACCTCAAGTTTGCCCCAAGGAGGCCAAGAGCTAATGGCATTCTGCACATAGGCATTTGGCCCAGTGCCCAGCACAGAGAAAATGCTCCGTATATAACAGCTGGCCGGGGCAGTAAAAGATAGGGTAACTTCTTTTACTTAAGACGTTAAAAAATAGTTGTACGAATGAATGCATTTACAGAAATAAAGGAGACTAGCCCACCCACTTGGGTTGACCCACTTCCTCGACATGATATTCAAGCTGCACAGAGATTTACTTCTTCTGTTGGATTATTTCTTTAGGATAAATTCCCTGGAGTAGGATTACTGGACCAGGAGGTCAGAGCCCTTTTCTGGATCTCAATAATTGTTGCCATATTGCTTCCCAGAAAAAGATTCTCCTGAGGTACTTTTTGCTCAATACTAGTGATTTAAGTTCATATTTTTTCATATAATTGACTTCACTTTTTTTATACACATCCACAGGGTACAATATAATTACAGTAATTGACATATATTCCTTTAAGAGCCAAGTAGGAATATATTTTTAAATGCTTACTTTTTCGTTTTTGTGTTTATTTTTAAACTTTGCTTAAGTGTAAATTGTCTATTCATAGCCTTTACCTATTTATCATGCACTCTTTCATTAACAGATATTAACTGATCACCTTCCTTATGCAAGGTGCCTTGGGATACCTGCTTTAAGTAAACTTTTAAGACACCATGGCAATGAACTTCTTTGTTATCGCATTTGATTTATATTTTCTCCTACTCTGGCTACCTATTTAATGCTGTAATTTTTATTGTTACACATTGTTTTAGATAAATATAATCAGACTTGCATCCTGTTTTTACTAAGTGATTTTTTTAAGTTTAGAAAGTTATCACCTCATGAGCTAATCAATATTAAATATTTAATTCTGTTATTTTACTTTACTTTTAAAATGTTAAGTTTTTAATCCAGTATTTATGGATTAAAGAATATTTTACTGGCCGGGCTCAGTGGCTCAGCCAAGTACCACTTTGGGAGACCAAGGCGAGTGGATTACCTGAGCCCGCAGGTTTGAGACCAGCCTGGGCAACTTGACGAGACCTCGTCTCTACAATAAAAAAAAAAAAAAAAAAATTATCTGGGTGTAGTTGTGCATGCCTGTAGTTCTGGCTATCTGGAATGCTGAGGCAGAAGGATCATCGGAGCCCAGCAGGTCGACGCTGGGGTGGCCACGAGTGTGCCACTGACTCTAGCCTGGGCAACAGAGTAAGATGACAAAAAAAAAAAAAAAGAATATTCTACTGAACACTATTCATGTAGAATCCAAAAAACTCAATAAAAAAACAACAACTAAATTTCAAATGAGCATGGGAAAGTTGACTTGAACAAAGTTAATTAAATTTGTCTACCAGAAGACTCCTTAGAAGACATGTTAATGAACCTTGTGAGTCTCCACAGTTTGGGGAGACTGGTAAGACTGGTATAAAACATTTCTCAAACATGACTATAGAACCCTTTGTGAAACCTCTCTTGGGGTGTCATACTTCTGACAATGTTGCTTTCACCCACCCTCAAACTAAAACACTGAAAACTAAACTGTAAGCTCCATCAAGTGGGGATTTTCGTCTGCTTCATTCCCTGTAGTATTCTAAGCCCATTGTAGATGCTCAGAAAATATTACATAGTTGAGTAAACAAATGAGCGCATGTGCAGAAAAACAGATCTAGTACAGCAACACTGAGATACATGTTCTCTAAGGGGTAGAGAGGGACATATAGCCCCGCTGTATCCCCAGGACCTGGAGTAAAGCCTGGGACAAACAACTGTTGAATAAATAAGTGTGTAAAGGAATGAGTCCCTTGGCCAACCCAGGACCTAAATTCTAGTCCCTAATATCCCTCCTGAAGTGGAAGGGAAAGAGTAACTCACCTGGCTAAGAGTACAGGATGCTTGTACTCTAACCCTAACCCTAAGGAGCTCTGAAGGCAGATCCAGGTGCCCAGAGACCAGCTCCAGAAATGCCCCTTTGGAGGTACCAGGGGCCTCATCTCATGAAGCTCACAGGTGACTTTTCATACCAGTGTCAGAAGCCCAGCTACACCCAGCCAGACAGTGGCAGTCATCTCACCCCGGGGAAGCTGAGAACCAGATTTCTTTGGCACTGCCCAGGCTAGCTGAGTGAGACTCCAAATCCTTCCCTCACCCCCACAGCCTGGAGGTGGCCTGGAGCCTGCCATGGGTGCTGTACTCAAAATGGCTCAGAGGCAGAGCCTCTGGGGGCAGGGCAGGCCTCTGAGGATGGCAGTGGCTCTCCATCTCATGAGCCCATTGCCATGGTCACTGTCATCCTGAGAACAACGTCCAGACCTTCTTCTTTACCTTTCACCCATCACTTAGCTGGACAGCGTGAAATGTTCAGGACCGGGCAATATAGAAGCCTAAATTAATCTAGATGAGATCAGGCACATTCAGCGTAGTATGACTGTAGACATAAATGAGTCTAAAGTTCATAGGTGAAGCTGTCTTTTGGAACCATGCTTGGATGTGTAGGGGAAATGGGTACAGGTGTCTGTCAATACAATCTGTTCCTAATAGCTGAGGGGACACAGACCTCACCATGCCCAGCATCTAGAACAGCAAAGTACATGAGTTTTCAAGAGAGAGATCCCAAAGCCCAGCCCAGGAGCATTGATAACATTTTCCAAATATTACCACTGGGTAATATTTCCTTTCAGAGTGCCCCAGCGCAGCCCCAGAGAGTCCCGTGTCACCACAAGTGCAAGTCCCACCAGCAGTTTAGGGAAAACCGACTCCCTAAACCAATCCGTGTGATTGAGGTTTTAGAAGCTTCCATGGCAAAGAAGAGAAGAAACAATGAGCTTTATAAAGAACCATATTTATTTCCATTTACATCATCAAATACCATAAATAAAACTAAACATTGTGCAAAATACAGGGTTTCGTGTGGCACTGTCAATGATTACCAAAGGTCACAGACATGCGTTGTGATGAGATGGGGAGGCTAGCTAGAGAGGAGGCTGAGGGGCAGGAGGGCATTCTTTGGTTGACATTCTATAAAGGGAGGGAGACTCTGCAAGAGAAGATAAGACAAGAGCAACGACTTCGTACTGGCTAGGAAGGATCTGCACACACGCAGCGAGGGATGCAGCATGCAGGGCTGGGCAGACCGGCCGGGGATCAGAACGACTCTGGGCCACATGCAGGACGAACACCAGCTGAGCCTGAGACCGCGAGGCCTGGCCTGCGACAGCTCCCCTGTGCTTGGTGTGTTTCTCTGGAAGAGTATCTCCACTGTCCTGCTGCTGCAGGCCAAGGCATATGCGTTTTAAGCAGAGCCATGGGGGCGGTTAAACAGCAGCTCCAGGCCTGGGGCTGAGTCATTTCTCAAAGACATCCCTGCTTGGGACATGAATGCTTAGTTGAAGCTGGGGCTTGAGGAGATAAGAAGAGCCACAGCAAAACCCTTGGATCTACAGTTCAGGTTGCAACAGAAAAAGGATTTGCTGGTATAATTGTGATGATATGTTCAAACTACAGAGCGTGGGTCAAGCTAGGGATGAGGTTTGGAAGTAACTAATTTTTTAAAATTCCTCCAAAAGGACTCACCTATAGTTTTGATCAATGATCACACATGAGTAATCTTTATATGAGAACCGGTTTAAGAAGAGGCTGGTAGGTACGAGGACAAGTGTCCTTTTCAAAGGTGCAGAGGCTTCCCCTACCACGGTACTATCTTACAGTCAGGGTTGACCCTCCCAGGAAGGCAAATGGCTTTGCAGGCACAACTGGAAAAGCATGCATGCAGGCAGGCCCAGGGGACAGAGGAGAGGCAGGGCGTGCACTTGGTGTCGGCTCCAAGAAGTAGAATCAGAACTCGGCTTTCAAGCTGGCCACCAACCCACGTCGTTAACCGACCATGCCACTGAATGGAGTCCATTAGTATGCAAGACACTCACAGTTAGCGCAGCCAGTACCACAGGCAGGAGAGGACGGGGTGCGGAAAGCAGGTTAGGGGTTAGTACCACCCTCTGAAAATTGGCAAGAAAACCAGTCACCTCCGAGCAGAAGTGTGTCAGCCAAGAAGTGGGTGTAGCACTGGAAGGCTGAAATGAACTGACAGCCAGTGAAAGATTGGAAAGAGAAAGAAAGAAAGAAGAGAGAACTTAGTGTAAGGAAAAAAAGGAAAACAGATAACAACATGAGAAGGCACTGGAGTTGAACATGAGGCAACTAGTTAAAAAAAAAGGAAACTTCCCCTGAACAAGTCACTGCTTGCTTAGGAGTGATGAACCTTCCTGGTAGTGACCAGCTACTCACAAGAGTGGACACATGTCATTTCGTAGTGCCAACACTCTACCGTACTCCACCCAGAGCTACAAATGCCCTCAGGTCCTCCTGCCCCCCACCCCTCATAACCTCTCTGCCCCCACTTTACTCTGGTGTCTCCTATTCATCCTGGAATATGTCGTGGAGGCATAGAGGTATTTGCCCGCTGAGATTCACCTATGTGTGTCAGTGCTGCCCACCAGGAAGGTTCAAGGTCTCAGAACATACAAACATCTCCAACTTCTGACAGGCACAGCCTGTCTCACCAGAGTAATTCAAACCAGCCTCCTTAGGGCTATATGTGATGTTCTTAGAGACTCCAACTCTGACTTCATGGAACATTCTACAAAGCATCTTAACCTACCCTGAGCTGAGGATAATCACAATAACACGGCTGGCTATTCACATCATGACCTTGAGAATTTGCTTTCTTTAATCACACATAAAATGAACCGCGGCCTCCTCCCACCATGCTGAACATGAAGATCCCAGCAAAAATGGGAAAAAACACAATGCGAGCCATTGGGCTGAGAACAGTTCCAATGAGGACAGAGGAGCTGGCTGCCACAGACTTGGCTGCCGCCATGCCCTTGTTTTTCCCAAGGATTTCAGGGGGATATTTGTAGACATGAACCCCTCCTTCTTTCCCACCCTATAGAAACTTGTCACCTCAAAGCTCTCAAGAGCTCTGGCTGCTAAACCACACCAGGCACCCTCCTTAGTCAATCTAGAGGAATCTCTAGAGATAACTGCACAGAGCTATCTTGGGCCCAGCAACTTCAGATACCACTGAGCACCATAAAAGGCCTTTCCCTGTCAGCCTCTTGATTGTCCAGCCAGACCCTGCAGCTGTGCATGTCCAGGCAGAGGGGAGTGGGGAGGACTGAAGTACTTCCAGATACCCAGAGAGAGGAATGCAGGTGGACCCAATGTTCATTTTTGGCCTTACTCGGGCATATTTCCTTTGGATCAGTCAACAAACAACTTCCACTCCCAGCCTTTCCTGTCAGTAAAGATACAGTAGTGCTCACCCTGGAGGTCAGATACATTGCTAGGGCAGCATGGAATGGCTTCTGACTGCCTTGACCACAAAACCTGCAGGGCAGCAGAGTGGTTGAGCACTCAGGATATCCACAGACCATGCTCACTGAGCAGGCCACGCTCTCCAGAAATAACCTGATGTGCTAACGTACACCCTCAGTCTCACAGGACACCACGGGAGAGGGCTGTGTCTTCCACTCCACTCAGCCTGACCACTATGAACCCTGAGTGGCCTTGGCTCAGCCTGCAGCCTGGGCTGAAGACCTGACAGGGAGCCCCAGGGGCTAAAATGTCACCAGCTGAAATTGCTTGTCTTGAGCACTGCATCAGCTTGACAGAGCTCTCTGTGGTCACATGTCAGTGGACTTTCACTGCAGTGCCCATTAGTGAAACACTGCAAAAGGCATGTTTGTGGTGATGTGGTTGAAACAATGAGCTTTATAAAGAACCATGGTTTTGGGTCCTCTGGTTGTGACTGGGTATGGGAGGAGAAGGCCTTTAAGCTACTATTTTACATCGAGGAAGCAAAACAGTCCTCCTCTCTCTGGGAGGGTGGATTATAGCCAACTACACACTGCTGTGTGTACTCTTGTGGCTTTAATTCTATTCTGCCTCCTATTCTTTTCTTCTAAAATAATTATGCTTTCATCTTGTAAAAAGTTACTTGCTGTTGAGTTAAAAGGCACTGAGGTGGCACACTCACATTTATGTTCGTAAAACCCCAAATCATTAACTTGTTGGGGCAGCGGCCACTACAACTCATTGAAATGGTGAAGGGGTTTGTAAAACCTGTTATAAATTTCAAACCCGTGTTTAGAAAAAATGACACTTGTAGAAAAAAAATGCTTTCTCTTGGCTTATTAAAAGTTAAAACTTGAAATGTAAACCCAGAAATATGGCTCGCTTTGGTATAAAAAAAGTACAAAGTTATTTAAAAAAAAATCACCCTGGCCCTCGCACGGTGAGTAGGATGTCCATCCTGACAAAGTCAGGCAGAGGTGGCTCATGGAAAACTCTTTGGCTTTGAGCTAATAGGTTAGAGAGCACTAGGCTTCCCGGTCAGAGTCTTAGCAAACTGCAAACACGTTGCTGTCTAAACTCTGCAAGTGTCCAGGCACTCTGGGGGCAGCCAGGCATCTCAGTGGAGTTTGACCGGGAAGCTCCTGAGCACCCAGTTGCGGATGCTCTCGAGGGAATCCTCGGACTCCCTGTACATAGTTGCCAGGACCTCAGAGAACGCCCAGAGGAGCGGCAGTCCAAGGCTCAGGAGCTCGTACGTGTAGCAGTAGTTGTGAGCATTGTCCCTGAGATGGAGGCCAACAGCTTGCAGGAGTCCCTGCATCCAGTCATGCAGGCCCCTCAGCAGCCCGAGAGGCCAGCTCAGCGCCTTTCTAAAGAAGGAGGTGGAGATACCTGGGGGGCTGCCTTCCGGTGTGCCAATGGCGGCCACAGCGCAAGAACTTTCGGTGGGGGTGTCTCGCCGAGGGGCTTCCTGCTCTTGCCATGTCCCCTCCTCCTGAGAGAGAGATTGAAATGAGGGTGTTTAGTCCACAAGTCTTGCAGAGGGCTGCTACAATGAGCCATCTAAGGGAGCCAATATAAACCGAACTTGGTATGCCCTGTGTTCTGCAGCCAGCCCCCACAATAGTCTCAGCCGCCCATTCATGGCTGAAGCAAGTGCTGAATGTGGGCACAACTTTCCTGGGGGTCAAACTGATCATAGAGGTCACGATACTTCAAATCTGCATGCTCTTTGGCCAACAATATCATGTCTAATAATATACACAAAGTAGATAACTTGAAAATATGCATACCACAAAGTGCCTATAAAGATATGTGGAAGATAAAAATATCAAATAAGGTAAAGGTTCAACAATATGGAACTAGTGAAATACATTATTGATCACTCATAAACTAGAATATTTTACAGGCATTAAAATTATGCTCCAAAAGAATTTTTAATGTCACGGGGAACTTTTCTTGTTAGTGAAAAAAAAAGAAGGATGTAAAACAGAGAAAAAATTCCAACTAGGTTAAAATATATTCACATGGGAAAAAGTCTAGAATGGGATGTTTAAAAATGTTAGTCATGGTTTTCTCAGGGTAGTGATTAGAGGTGACTTAACTTGTATTTATTTTCCTATTTTTCTGTATTGAGTCTGTATAACAATGGGTAACTGGAAATGAGTTATAGGTCACTGCTGGTGGTGGGTGGTTAAGTTGCAGCGATGGTATTTGCTAAAACCTGCCAGAGGGGGCGCTATCACAAATCGCTATAAAATTCAGTGGGCTGGTCACTTTGTTGACTTCAAGAGCTTGGGAAGGAACCTGGAAACCATAGAAGAGGTCACTCCCATACCAGGAATTCCTGCCGGCAGCACCCCATGGCCAGGTGGGCCCTAGACACGGAGGGACCCATGGTCTTTTCATGGTCACACGTGAAAGCTCTTCTGGGCTTCTTGTGAGAAGCCAGCACAGTCACTCACCTGGGAGCTGGCATCCAGAACAGGACAAACCCCAGAGGCCGTGGAGCTGACTGAGGCAAAGGAACCGTCTACACCCGGAAGTAGAGGCTTTCTTCTTTATCTGCAAATAATCTCAATCCCTCCAGGGCCAGAAGAGTTGGCCTAACTTTGAGGCACCCTGGAAAACCTTTTCCTACCAAGGAGCCTTCCCTGTTTCACCAGTACTTTTGAGACAAAACATACCTCTCTTTGTTGCTTCAAGTCTGCCCTTCTCTTCCGTTGTTTGCTATTGGTTTTACAGTGAATGAAGTGAGGCTTGCAGTAAAATTTTCCTGTAAAAAATAGAAAGAAGACTCAGAAAGAAAGAACAAAGTCTAAAGAGATGTGTGATTATATCAAGAGGCCGAACCTATGCCTGATTGGTATCCCAGAAGAAGAAAGGAAAATGAAGAACAACTTAGAGCAAGTATTCCAGGAGGTAATCCAAGAAAACTTTCCCCATCTCACCAGAGATGTGACCAGTCAAGCAAAAGAGATACAGATAACCCCCATAAGACATCAAATGAGTAGACCAACTCCTAGACACATAGTAATTTGCCTACATAAAGTAGGCACAAAAGAAAAAAATCCTAAAGGCAGCAAGAGAGAAAGGTCAGACTACTTACTGGGGAAAACCAATCAGAATAGCAGCAGACCTATCAGCAGAAACACTACAAGCAAGAAGGGATTAGAGTCCAATATTCAAAGTCCTCAAAGATAAACAATTTCAACCAAGAATTTCCTACCCACCCAAGCTCAGTTTCATCAGTGATGGAGAATTAAAATCCTTCTCAGACATCCAAACCCTAAGAGATTATGCAGCTTTCAGACAGCTCTACAGGAGATACTTAAAAAGGTATTAAGCACAGAAGAAAGAAGAAAAAAAAAAAGAATGACCACACACTTCCCAAGAGAACAGCAGAGCACTGAATCAACAGAGAATACAGTGCAACAGGAAACTTGAAAACACACACATATATCAACTCAAAGTCAAAAGAAAACAGGCAAACAAAGAAAACACTTTATAAGAACCTCATGACAGGGATAAACAATCACATTTCAATAATCAGCTTGAATGTGAACGGACCAAATGTACCACTTTGACACAGAATGGCAAACTGGATAAGAAACCATGACCCAGGAAACTCATCTCACCACAAGGGACACACACAGACCCAAAGCTAAAGGATGGAAAGTGAGTTTCCAGGCAAATTGACCACAAAAGAAGGCAGGAATCATGATCTTAATATCAGACAAAACAACCTTTAAGCTATCAAAAATTTAAAAGGATACAAAAGGACACTATATAATGATAAAAGTTTCAATCCATCAATAAGAAATATTCATCCTAAACATATATGCACCCAACACAGGAGCACCAGCATTTATAAAGCAACTACCAAGTAAACTAAAAAAAGATATTGACTCTAACGCTATTATAGCAGGGGACTTGAATACCCCACTAACAGCCCTAGATAGATCATTGAGGCAAAAAATCAACAAGGAGATCCAGAACCCAAACTTGACACTCGACCAAATGGACTTAATAGATACCTACAGATTATTCCACCCAACAACCACAGAATATACATTCTACTCATCACCACATGGAATATACTCCAAGATCAATCACATCCTTGGCCACAAATTAAGCCTAAACAAATTCTATAAGGTTGAAATATTGCCATGTACCTTCTCAGACCACAGTGGATTAAAAATAAATATCAACACCAACAAATTTCTCCAAAGCCCACAAAGACATGGACACTAAACAGGAACAACTACTGGGTGAACACTGAAATCAAAGCAGAAATTAAAGGCTTCCTGGAAACAAATGAAAATGAAGAAACATCTTACCAAAACCTCTGAGATGCCATGAAGGCAGTTTTCAGAGGGGAATTTATATCTCTATGAGAACACTAAAAGAAAATGGAAAGATCATAAGCTGAGAGTCTAACACATCATCTAAGGGAGCTGGAAAGAGAAGACCACCAAAATCCCAGCTTTAGCAGAAGAATCCAAATCACTAAATTAAGAGCCCAAACATGAGACAAAGAAGATAAAAATATCATAGAAAACACCCACGAAACAAAAAACTGGTTCTTTGAAAGAATTAACATGATTGATGAACCCCTAACCAGAATGACCAAGAAAAAGAGAGGAAAAGTCCAAATAAACACAATCAGAAATACAAAAGATCAAAATCACAACTGACTCTGAAGAAATACAAAAGATTACCAGAGATTACTATATATACCTATATGGAAACAAACTTGATAACCTAGATGAAATGGAGGACTTTCTGACATCACACAACCTCCCCAGATTGCAACATGAAAACACCAAGACACTAAATAGACCAATAACAACCCAGGAAATTGACTCTGTCATATGAAACTACCTACAGAAAAACAAAAGCCCTGGACCGGATGGTTTTCCAGCAGAATTCTACAAAACGTATAAGGAGGAGCTGATACCAATCCTATTGAAAGTATTCCAGGCAATTGAGAAAGATGGAATTCTCCCCAAATCATTTTACACAGTTAATATTCACACTGATACCCAAACCGGGTAAAGATCCAACAAAAAAAGAGAACTACAGGCCAATATCTCTTATGAACACAGATGCAAAAATCCTCAACAAGATTCTAGCAAATTGGATCCAAAAACACATCTCAAAAATCATCCATCATGATCAAGTAGCCTTCATCCCCAGGATGCAGGGCTGGTTCAACATTTGCAAGATCATAAATGTAATTAAATATATCAACGGATGTAAAAACAAGAACCACATGATTATCTCATCAGATGAAGAAAAAGCCTTTGATAAATCCAGCATCCATTCCTGAAAAAAACCCTTAAACCTCTAGGTATAGAAGGAACATACCTCAAAATAGTAAGTGTCACCTACGATAAACCCACAGCTAACATATTGCTAAACAGACAGAAACTGGAAACATTTCCCCTGAAAACTGGAAGAAGACAAGGCTGTCCTCTCGCACTCCTCTTGTTCAACATTGTGTTGAAAGTCCTAGCCAGGGCAAATAGACAAGAGAAGGAAATCAGGAGTATCCAAGTAGGAAAAGAGGAAGTCAAGTCATTACTCTTTGCTAATGATATGATCCCATACCTTGAAAATCCAAGAGAATCTGTCAAAAACTTGCTTGTACCGAGAAAGGACTTTGGCAAAGTCTCAGGGTACAAAATAAATGTGCAAAAGACAGTTGCACTCCTATATACCAACAAAAAGCAGGCAGAGACTCAAATTAAAAGCACAATCCCATTCACAATAGTCACAAAAAAAAAGGAAAGAAACACCTCAACATCTTCCTAACCAGAGAAGTGAAAGACCTTCAAAATGAGAACTACAAAACACTGTTCAAAGAAATCCAAGAAGACAAACAAATGGAAAAATATTCCATGCTGATGGGTAGGAAGAACCAGCATTATTAAAATGTCCATCCTACCAAAGGCAATCTACAGATTCAATGCAATATTCCTTAAATTACCAACATCATTCTTCTCAGACCTGGAAGTGACGATACAGAAATTCATATGGAAACATAAATGACCACAAAAATAGCCAAAACCATCCTTAGCAAAAGAAACAAAGCAGGAGGTATCACACTTCCAGACTTTAAACTTTACTATAAGGGTACAGTAATCAAAACAGCCTGGTATTGGTTTAAGAACAGGTATATAGACCAATGGAACAGGATTGAGATTCCGGAAGCAAAGCCTCAATTTCTCAACAAACTCGTCTTTGACAAAGCCTCCAACAACAAACACTGAGGAGAGGAGAACCTATACAGTAAATGGTGCTGGGAAAACTGGCTGATCACATGCAGAAGATTGAAACAGGACCCCTACCTATTACCTTACACAAAAATTAACTCTAAATGGATCAAAGACCTAAACGTAAAACCTCAAACTATAAGAATCTTAGAAAATGCAGGAGACACGCTTATGGAAATTGGAACTGGCAACCAATTCCTGATCAGAACCCTAAGTGCCCATACCACAAGAAATAAGATTGACAAGTGGGACCTCAAACTGATGAGCCTTCACAAAGCAAAAGAAATCATCAAGAGAGCAGGGAGACAGCCCACAGAATGGGAAAAATAGTTGCCAACTGTATATCTGACAAAGGCCTAACATCTAGGATCTACAAGGAACTCAAATGTGCTGAAAGGAAAAAAACAAACAGCCCCATTCAAAAGTGGGCAAAAGACATGTATAGACATTTCTCAAAAGAAGATGTACAGGCAGCCAACAGACACATGAAAAAGTGCTCAGCCTCACTCATCATTAGAGAAATGCAAATCAAAACCACATTGGGATACCACCTAACCCCAGTAAGAATGGCCATCATTAATAAAATAAACAACAACAGATGCTGGTGAGGATGCAGAGAAAAAGGAATGCTTCTACACTGCTGGTAGAAATGCAAACTAGTGCAACCTCTCTGGAAGACAGTGTGGCAATTTCTGAAAGAACTAGAAATTGACCTTACATTGACCCAGCAATTCCCCTATTGGGAATATACCTGGAGGAACTCAAATCATTCTACAAAAAAGATGCACACGTATGTTTGTTGCAACTCTATTCACAATAGCAAAAATGGAACCAGCCATGCTGCCCATCGAAGCTGGACTGGATAAAAAAATGTGGTGCATATACATAATGGAATATTATACTACCATAAAGAAGGATGAACCTATGAACTTCACGGTAACTTGGGTGAATTTAGAGTTGGTCATACTCAGTGATCTATCACAGAAACAAAGCAGAGTACCATATGTTCTCACTCATAAGTGGGCCTTGAACAATTATCATAATACCATAAGAAAAGGATTGGCAGTAGTGGGAAATTGCCAGAGGAGGAAAGGTGGGATTGGCAGTTGAGGGAAACTGCTAGGGGAGGGAGGAGCACACATCATCAACAAGGGTACCTGCATAGTCAACGTTTGTGTACCTAACCCTGAATTGTACTCCACATCTTTAAAATAAAAAATAAAAATTTTTTAAAAAGAAAAAAATTTTCCTGTAAAAAGACGCACACACAGATTATTCTTCTGTAAACTGGAGCCACAGTAGACATAAGTCAAGTGCTTGCCCCATCCAACTCAGAAAACAGCAACAATGGAAATAAGTTCAGGATGGCTCCAACTTGGGAAATTTCTATCACCTTCCTTGAGGTAGCAGGACCCTTTGTTGCCTCAGAGACAAGCTCCAGCAAAGGGGGGGCTCCTGGGGATGGGGCTCCCCAAACCATGCAGAGCTTTGGAGTGGCTGCATACATTGAGGGCCCTCTAGGGTGGCATGCCCGCACCCAGAGAGGGCGTGGCAGCTCTGAGCCCCTCCCCCCTACCCTCACTGTATGCATCGCTTCCATCAATCTGTTCCTTTGTATCCTTCGTAATAAATGGGGCAACATTAAAAAAAAAGCCCTCAAATAAGTCTGAGGCCAAGTTCTTCAGTTGCCAGGCAGCAGAATGAACAGCTTTGAGTATCAGCACCTTAATCCTTCTTTCTGGGGCCCCTGGGGTGGGACAGGTTGTGAACAGATGATGGCAGCGATGGGGAGGGGAGACCCAGACAGGACACATGCTGGAAAACTGGCCATTACTCAGGGCCACTGGGTCCCTTCCAGAAAAGCCTTCCTTGCTCACTGGTACACTAGGAACAATAGTGATAATAATAATGGTAACAACAGTGAAAAGTTCCATAGCACTACTGTATACCAGACACTGGTCTAAATGCCACACATGAATTAACTCCTCGGTCCTTATGATGACTTTAAGAACGAAGTACTAGTATTAACCACATTTTACAGATGAGGAGACTGAGGGACCAAGACATTAAGTAACAGGCCCAAGGTTATATGGCTAGTAGGTGGTTCTGTCTGGATTTGAATCAAGGTGGTTTAGTTCAAGGGCATCTTTGTAAGCACTATACTATACTGCTTCTCATTTTATATGGCATTACCAATATCATGTGTTGAAAATTAGAAAATAATCACTCATTCCAGCAAGCACAATTCCTTCATTGATGATCTCTGCCAGGCCACTTACCAGAGGAGATATTATTATGGTTGTTTGCATGATATATACTTTATCAGTAATATTAATAGAGGATCATTTACTGAGCCCTTATTACATACCAGGTATGGTGTCGAGCATGTTAGTAGATTGTCAGGTTTGATTTCTCGGCCACCAAAGGACAATGGAAAATGGTGAGGCTACGTGAGAAAATGTGTACAAAGGCCTCAGCACACAGTAGGTGTCTACCAGCGCCTGGTATACCATAGGTGCTAATGCTTTCCCTTCCCCCAGATGGGCGCCCTGTCTAGCAGGAACTCCCGGCTTCCCTGAACAGCTTTCTTGACGACATCATACTCCCTGCTGGGGATGTGCTGGGTGTCTCAGACCCTTTAGAAGGACAGGAACCCAGGCCAAGGCCATGTCTGAGTCTGAGGCCAGAGCCCAGTGCTGCCCTGGCCCCCGGGGTTACCTTCATCGCAGTCGAAGGCATAGGCGGCCAGACGCAGGGTGGTGGTGCAGATGCTGCAGCGGAAACACTCGCGGTGGAAGAAGTGGCCCTCGGCACTCAGTCGCTCCATTACATACACACGTTTCTTACAGAAGTAGCAGGTGTCGCTGCCACCCAGGTTCAGGGGAAACGACCTTCGCATAGATTCCTGGGGATCGGGAGAGAGGAGCAGCCTGTTAGGGCCGACCCTGACCCTGGGCCTTCACATGCCAGGCCGAGGCCTCTAGAAATTCCAAACTGAATCCTGGGGACCTTGTAGCCTTCTATTTGCTGCTCCCGACACTGCAGCAAACAGTAAGGGGTGGAAAGGTGTGTTCCCCACAGACCTCAACCCTGCAGGGGCTGCTGGTAACTGTACTCCTAGACAGACCAGTGCAATGGGCAATGAAGTGGCCTGGGTAGGGCTGTCCCAGGCTGACTGTTCTGACTTTGGGGTGGGAGTGATGTCTCCTGGTCTGACAGAGTAGGCATTATTCACAAGTGTGTCTGGCCGGGGCTGTTCTCTCTGGGATCTGTCCCCGAGGTTGTGTTACCTGGCCCTAGAGAGAGGTCATAGAAACCCTCCCACTGAGGATCCTTGACATATCCTTGCCCCCCCCCCCCACCGTGATGACGCAGGTTAGACAAGGAAAGCTTGTGGCATCACATCTAACCAGTTAAATTCCTAATTGTGAAGGGTAAGTGTGCAGGCCAGGGCTGGGGCACCCCTGGGTGAATCCAGGGCAACGTGCTGGAAGGCAACAGAAAGAATTGTCAACTCAAGTCACCGGTGAAGGCAGCGAGGGGCCTAGCTAGGTAAAGGGATAATTCAAATAAAAGAGTTTTCCCCAATACTTATTTCTCAATCCACTGCAAAGATGTTCAGGTTGGACACTAAACACTGAAGGCAAAGGATATCCAACGATGCGTGTGACCTCACCTGGGATTTTCTACTCAGTAGTTCTCCAGAGCCACAGACAGCAGGGAAGAGGCTCTGTCATAGAAAAGACCCACAAAGGACCAACATGAGGTTTGTCTTTAAGGAAATGCAGCTTTGCTCTAATCACTGCTCTGGTCCAGCCCATTCTCAGCCCCATCTTATCCCACAAGGAAGTTAGCCTTTGGAAGGCCAGGACATCCATCCTCTCCATGTCCCGTGCGCCCTCCCCGGGAGGCCATAGCCAGTGTCTGCGGGTGAAGGCTGAGGGTGCGTGTCCTTACCAGGTCTGGAGAGGTGGCCTGGGCCTTAGGTCTGTGATCATTCATGTACAGATTGACCAGGACTTCAGCTGCAGCCCCTATTCCGCTGGACACTTTCCCTACCGTCAGCTAACCAAGAGCGGAGGTGGAGGAGACAGAGACAAAGGCAGAGGCCAGTTAGCACCCAGAGGAAAAACACGGACAGGCTGGATGTGGGAGAGGGCTCCACACCCACATGCAAATAGCACCCACGTCCCAGGAGAGGCAAAACCAGCCCTGAGGGGGGCTGTGGGTGTTCTGGAGATGGAGAAAGAAAGAGAACCCCAAGGCTGCAAAAAGACAAATACTGCATGATTCCAAGTACATGTTGTACCTAGAATAGTCAAAATCATAAAGCCAGAAAGCAGATGGTGGCTGTCAGAGGCTGAGGGAGGAAATGGATAGTTGTTTCATGGGTACAGAGTTTCAAGTTTTTTTGGGTTTTTTTTGTTGTTTTGTTTTGTTTTTGAGTCAGAGTCTCACTCTGTCACCCAGGCTGGTGAGCAGTGGCATGATCACAGGTCTCTGCAGCCTCAACCTCCTAGTTCAGGCGATCTTCCTGCCTCAGCCTCTTGAGTAGCTGGGACTATAGGTACATACCACCACACCTAGCTAAGTATTTTAAATTTTTTATAGAGACAACATCTTGCTATGTTGTCTCGGTTGGTCTCAAATTCCTAGGCTCAAGTGATCCTCCCACCTAGGCCTCCCAAAGTACTGGGATTACAGGCGTGAACCACTGTACTCAGCCAGAGTTTTAGTTTTACAAGACAAAAAGAGTTCTGGAAATGGATGGTGGTGATGGTTGCACATTACAAATGTATTTCACACCACTGAAATGTGTACTAAAAAGGTTAAGATGGTACATTTTATGTTATGTGTATTCCTGTGACTCTGGGTGAACTCAGTGATTAGTACAACTTCATCCTCTTGGGGTACAAGACTTTTGGGGGCTCCTTGAGATTCTCGTTGCCCAGATGGTATAAATGAATCCCAGAGAAGGGAAGGGGTTTACCCAAGGCCATTTAGCAAATAAATGCAAGATTCATGGCTATCCTCAGCTCTCCTGACCCCACAGCCCTGGGGCCTTCCCTGCCCTTGTCTTCAGGGCAGGGGTGAATCATACTGCTCAGAACCAGTCATCACCAAAAAGGACTGCAGGCCCTGCCAGTCAGAGAAGCCAGGCAAAGGAGAGAAGGAAATCAGGAGCCAGGTCTGCATAGACAGAAAGCTAGACTGCGGTCACCCTCCAGAGATACCTCCTCTCCAGGGCTGTGGGCAGCTGCTTGGGGACTGGTGGAACCAGCAAGGATGGGGGAAGGGTTAGGACCCAGTTCCACCCCAGTCAGTGTTGAAACCTGAAATGAGCCTTGAGCTTCTGTGCTCAGCGTCCTCATTTAAAACAGGGACAGACAGTTGTACCTGCTTCGTGTGTTTGTGGGAAGGACTGAAAGAATGCGTGTCAGAGTACCTGGCACTTAAGCAGGTACTGGGTCAAGATTACCTTGTATGATATTGTGATATAATAAGAAATAAATATCTAGTCTCTGTGTCCTGGTTTTTGAGGCAGAACTCCTAAGATTTTTGTAATTTCCTGAGTGGCAACAGCATCTGATGCAGAACTTCTAAATCTTCTAAATGCCTTGGCGTTTCTTGGGTGATGGGAGCATCTTTTGCTCTAGCGAGGCCATTCTTGGGTCTCTGGATAGCCTCAGGACGGGACTGGTTGTCAGGAAAACCAACCCTGTGATGAAAGTGTTGGAACTTCCAGCCCGCCTCTCGACCCACACATATTTTGGTGACCAGAGGTGAGTAATATAAGAGTAGAGAGAAAACGGTCGGTTATTTTCTTATACCTGGATTCCCCCCTCCCTTCCTCTCTATTCAGCCTGCTTGAAGCTTTCGGGTCCTTAGAGAATGACACCTGGGTCTGACTTAAGTCCGTCTCCAAAGGACCAAAGCCCACCTTGCCAACAGGAGCACTATGCAGGTTGGGAGGGGGGTCAGGGCAGGGGCTCTGCAGTGATTCCAGAGCCCGTGATGGGCAAGGCCAGCTCAGAGAGGGAGAAGCAACAGTTCTGTGGGCTCCAGGGTACACTGCCCAATGCTGGGTTGTGGGTGCTTGAGCTCCTGAGGGCATCTATGTGTGCCTGGGTCCCCACCAAGGTGTCAAAGAGCTGGGGAAAGGGTGGAAGCCAGCAGCCCAAACAGAGCATGGCACATCACACATTGCCCCTCAGCAAACCCCAACTCGCCTTTCCTCTCTTCTCTATGTTAGAAAGCCCACCTTGGGAACCCTGCAGTCTCTTCTTGGGGGATGCACATATGCACAGTATGTACAGTATGAGATTCTGGAAACGCTGTTCCTGATCCCAACACCCTGGAGCGAAGGAGGTTCCAAACTCTCCCCAGCCTCCAAGTTCAGCTTCTAGGAGGTGTGGCCAGAATGGCAATTTAAGTGTTGAGGGCTCTGGGCCAACGTTGATAGCTATCACCACAATAAATCACAGTCACTTATACATGGGTGTAACACCACCCTCCATCTAAACTCAGGATTGCTTTTGAGAGGCTACATCTAATCCCATTGCAGAAAGTCTCAACTACAAAGCAGGAAGTTCAGGAAATTGTAAAGCAAATGACAGCAGTCTTGCCACAGCTCCCCAGCTTCTAATAGCCATGCCCATCCTCGGGACCTAGGCTAACTGGTCACCTTCCAGCAAAGGCACAGACACTAAGTAGGGCTGAGCAGGGAAAGCGGTGCCAAGCAGGTTGGCAGGAGCAAGGCCTGGAAGACTTTCGCTCTCTTTCTCATGAAGGAAGCCCAACACTAAAGACCCCTCTGGATGGTCATTCTAGCCCACATATGTGGCTCTCAGGGTGTAGGAGGAAGTGGCTGCAGGCCTGCTGGGGGTGGCTGATCCCTCAGGCTTAGACAGACAGGATTTCATCAAAATTTACAAGACCTGACACTTCTATTTGTTGATTTTTTTGAGTCGGTCTCACTCTGTTGCCCAGGTTAGAATGCAGTGGCCTGATCCCAGCTCACCACAGCCTCAATCTCCTGGGCTCAGGTGATCCTTCTACCTCAGCCTCCCGAGTAGCTGGGACTACAGGCATGTACCACCATGCCTGGTGAATTTTTTTTTTTTTTTTGAGGGGGTAGAGATGGGGTCTTGTTATATTGTCCAGGCTGGTCTCAAACTCCTGGGCTTAAAAAATTCTCCCACCTCAGCCTCCCAGAGTATTGGGATTACAGGTATGAGCCACCAAACCTGGCCAAGATTTGTTATTTTGGGGAGCAGCAGTTGCCAGGACAGGCATCCCCTTCTACCCCTGCCCCCACACTGGTCCAGCCTGGGTGAGATGAGGGCTCTGCTTCCAGGCACATGCTCTGCCATTTTCAGCAGGCTACAAATGCCAAGAAACTTAGCTCCCATTTCCAGGAAAGGTTAAGGTGTGTTGGCTCAGGACAATAAGCCATTGTTGGTCTGATGTTCCATCCCCAGCTGGGCCCCCTAACTTGGCCCCTCAGATAGAGGCTGTAGAATACAAAGTCCTTCCGGGTTTATAACAGAATTAAGGGGGAGGGAAAGCAGGGAGGTCAGGTTTACACTCTGTGTTGCCCGCCCAACCCCTTGTGTGGCTGTCTCCCCTGGCCCAGTGTGTGAACTGACTCCCCAGTACTCTCCCAGAAAGGTACCATGGTGATGCCAAGATGCCCACGCACAATTATTGTCTCCCCTGAGTTAGCATAGACTGAGACTCTGCTTTCTGGGGCTTTGAATACAAGTCCCTAATAAGATCTTATTAACCACTTAACTAATAAGCACTTTGTACCATGGAGTGCTCCAGCAATCCTGACTTGGGGAACAATTACTGAAACATCAGAGGGCTGCGAGGTGGCTGGGAGGTGTTGCCAAAACATGTTGGGACAGTCAAAGGCCTGCCCAGTGGTTCCACGGCACAGGAGCACTACTGTCTAGGTCCCCAGGCCAGGGGATCCAGGATGAAGACCACACCGGGTTCTGCCTTTCATTAGGGCCAAAAGGCTACTTTCCCCCAGTGGCATCCATACATTCAACTCAAGAGAGTAACTTGAAAAAAAAAAAGTTAAATGAAAGCACCTTTGAGGAAATCAGCATTGGGTCTCCTACCTGCGCTTCCCAAACTGATGAAAACCATCTCAGAATCACCAAGAGAAAGACTAGGTCTTTCTTGAGAGGTCATGAGGAAACCAGGTGATGGGGAACTTGTCTCAAGGGATGAGGGGGGCCTTGAAGCCCTCCCCAAGGCCAATGTGAGGCCGGTGTTGTCTAGGGATCAAGGGTTATCTTCTGTTTCCTGACTGAGGACAGCCTCAGTGGTTCCGTGAGAGGAAAGATATACCCAGGGATCTTCTGCCAGTTCAGCACTACTCTATCTGTGGCCAATGACCAGGTTTTGTTTTTTTTCTTTTTAAATCTCAAATCCATTGTGGCCTGATACTTCCGGATGCAATAAAGATAAATTGCTAGAAATACGATCACACACTTAGACGTGTGGCAACGGCAGATTGTCCTGTGAGTTTCCAGTGCTTACTTCCACTTGCTGTACTCATGCGATCACAGACCAGCACCTGCTTGTCGACCACACTTGGGCCATACCACTGCTCTAGTCAGCTGGGGAGTTACCAGGTTCTCAGGATTCTGAGAAATAAAGAAATACTCAACTCTTGGGGAACCTCCCGGAGACCTCACCCTGGTGTTGACATCAGAATAAGAGCCAGGGATTTCCACCAAGAAAATGTATGCATTGAATGGCAAGCCGCAATGCTCCTAGGGAGGGCTGACCAAGAGGAGTGCTTACAATTTGGCTGGGAACAATTTATCCAAATGTGAAGTTGGTCAAATAGGATAATGTCCAAGTCACTAGTTTAAGAATTCGTAACTTTAAAGTCCCATGGGACTGCTTTTGTAACCCTTTATATAGCTTTCAATATTCCTGTAATTGTTAAGAATTTGAGTATTTTTCACTACCTTTCCCCCCCTTTTGAATTCTAATTATTTTTCAGCTAATTAATTGGGACATTTCTGGAGGGACTTCATCTCACATTGCATATACTTTTTCCCTTTCGTGGGCTTTGGCTTCCTCAACTGTGAATTGGTGAGACCACCATCCACCTCGCAGGGCTGCAGAAAGAGTCATAAAAGAGTCTAGGCATGCTTCGAATGGCACAGGGCACCCAGGAGGTACTTGACAAGTAGTTAATGAGTCCAAAGGAGGCCCATTCATGCAGCCATTTCCACATTCCAGAACTTCTCTCTGATCCTGAATCCCTTTCACTTTCCTCTGTGTGAGAGAATGAGTGGCCCATGCTTGGCGAGCATGCTGCCTCTTCTCCCCTGGGCCAACCTAAGTCCAAATGTGGTGATGCAATTGCAGTTACAAGTACCAATGTCAGGCTGCAGGAGATGGCCAGACCTCCACAGAGAGGCTTTCCTTAGGCAATCCTGTTACCTCAGCTCAGAATATGACTTTCCCTGCCTGGATGTCTGAGCATTTCTCATGCTGCATGGAGCTGGTCCGTCTCCCCTCTAGTCTGCACTCCCTGATGGCAGGGACCTGTCCTACTCATCTCTGGGTTCCTGGCATAGGGCAGACACTCTGAACGAAGGAGGAAGCAGGCTTATGGGCCTACTGGCATCCACACAATGGAAACTGCCCTCCTTGGGCCTGGAACGGAGCCAAAAATAGCAGGCATCCAGGTTGCACTTCTCAGCAGAGTTGGGCCACCTGTGGCCATACAGCCTGCTATGAGCATCAGGCAAGCCCATGGGTCAGGTAGAGGTGAGAGTAAGACATCCAGGACCTCAGAGCTGAAGGCTCACGGGAAAGGGGTGTTTTGATAGGTCTCCTGGGCCCACTTGGGCAAGGACATCCCTCTGAGGAGTCCCTAGAGGCGAGAATATCAGAGGACAGCTTGTTGGACCAGACTGTACGCCCAGGGCAAGGGAAGGGGGCTGGAGTGGGGGTGGGGTGGGGGTGGTCTAAAACCACTTTATTCAAGGGGGTCTGGAAACGACACACTCGCTCGGAGCTGAGACAGGGACAAGGCCCTGATACTGTGACCTCCCAGTGGGAGCCCATGTCTGCCCACCTTGGTCCCCTGGTGCCAGGCACTGTGCCGCCGAGCATATGCATTGAGCCTTCACAAAAGGGGGTCTTATGATCCCCCCTCTGCAGGTGTGGCAGCTGAGTTCAGGGAGGCTCTAACTTACCCGAGGTTGTACTGTTCTTAAGTGGTTGGGATGGAAATGGAAACCTGAAGGTGACTTCTTTTCCTTGAGAAAGAGAGGAATTGACATGCATTTTAGGTAAATGAGCTTTTTTCTAGAATTCTCTTCCATGGAGGAAAGAGAAGATTTCCTGGATACTTGAGGCATTTTGCCTATGTTAGTTCTTTGCAGTGTTTCAGTGACCCTCAGGAGTAGCTGTTGTCATCTCCATTTTATAAGTCTAGAAACTAAGACCTGGAGAGGTCTACCTACTTGTCCGAGCCACCCAATGAGTAAGTGGTGCTCTGAACTCAAGGCAGATTCCAAGCTCGTACATCCTTTCTCTGCTTCCCTGACACACACATTAAACTTCCCTGGGCTGGGATGCACACAGGAGACCTCCAAAAGGCTGCCTAGTTCTGTCCCTGGGATGGAGAGAGGGACAACAAGGCTGGAGGAACCTCCAGATCTTCCCTTGAGACTGATCCTCTCTCCAGATGAAACAAAGACAGATTGCCGGGCCAAAACCTGCCCAGCGTTTCCTTGTTTCCCTCCAATATGCAAATCTCTAGAGTAAACCCTGAAAATCCAGTTTTAAAACAAACATCCCCAAGGGTAGAGACAGCTCCTTTTGCAATGCTCAGTGCTCTTCTGGCCCCGAGGACTATGGGGCAGTTCCCAGCCCAGTGAAGGGTCTTTCTTGCTCAGCTATGTAAATGCTCAGCGCCACCTCATTCTTGTGGGAGCTCACCAGCAGTGGCAAATGGCCAGCAGCCACACCAGAGGCCAAATCCACAGTGCCTCCCTTCCTGAGGAATGAAATTAACTGATGGTTGATAGGAAGTCGGGAACACAGAGGAGGGCTGGTTTGATGGAATGAATGGATGAGAAAAATGGTGAACATGAGACTGGACATGGATCCCATATGCCATAGCCTTGAAAGACAGACTCTGTCAAAGATTTGAGCCCTAAATGAGAGTGCCTCAAGATGCCCTGTGACCATTCAGGTCAAAAAACCAACAGCATCGCCCTGAATTTTAAAGCAGAATATCAATCTGAGATGGCGAAAGGCAAGCAGAGTTGGGAGGCAGTCTCCATGTCTTGGAGTTGGTGATTCAAGTCTGCAACCCTGAGTGACATGCTTCTCATGCGTTTGGCAAGTCTATTCCCATGAGGAGGTGATTATTCCTGGATCCTCAGAATTGGCGTGCAGGGCTCTAGGGCAGGAACAGAGACATACTGCCTGCCAGGAAGTTGCCAAGGATTAAGCATCAGTTTCCAAGAGCATTTTTCTTCCTCTAACTCCCCTGAATTATGGCAAACTTGGGTCACTGGGCAAACAGAACAGCCCATAATCTGTTTGGAAAAAGTATTAAGGCCCCAGATTCTCTCTAGGGGAGAGACTCCCTGAGCTCCACCAGGAATCAAGCTGTTTATACCAGGTCATTATCTACTTCAAGGTGAAGCCAGTTCTCTCCTCAGAGGCAGCTGCCAGATTCTGTATGCACAAAGCCCAGTGTTGAATCGACAGTGGGGTGGGGTTTGGGGAGGGAGGAAAATTGGGGTGGGGGCCTGGCAGTATCCTTTCCAGGATTGCTTGAAAATAAACTCTCACTCCTAACAGCCTACAACAGACTCACAGTGCCACCCGCAGGGGCCTGTGAGTGCAGGTACTTAGAGAAACAAAGGCATAGAGATATGAAGTGTTTGCCCAAGTGCCCTGGGGTGGCCGCTCTAAGAGCTCCCCAGTCATGCCTAGCCACGCTGTGAAAGGTATACCAGTCTGTCATTAATACATTGGAAGCTGTTAAAACAGCCCAATTACACCATCACTGGATGGCCAAGGCTGGCTTGGGAGATAGGATGAAAAAAAAACCAAACAAACCCAACAAGGGGGCAATTGTTCTACTACAACCTGGGAGAACCAAGGGACAAAGCTGCAGAGGCGGGGGCCGGAGGACCTGGGGTTGGTCATCCCAAAGCTGATCCTATTCGAAGACCTTCCTGTTCCTGGAGGTGGGGCTTTATGCGACACAGCCTCTGGGCTAGTCCCTCTGATAAGGCTTCTGTTCACGCTTGGTCTCTGTGGTACAGAGGAGAGCACCCTGGTAGGAGTCAGGGCCTTGGGCTCTAGTCTCTTCCCTGAGCCTCTTCTTTTTTATCTGTGGTTCTGCTTTTCCTCAATTCCCACTTTCACTTGAAGACCCACCCGCCCCTCAGCTTCATTGCAAATTTCTACCCTTCCTCAGCACTCCGGGTCCCTGCCACCATTCTAATTTTTTCATAGGAAATATTGCCTTGTCCTCTAGCACATTATATCATTTACTTATATGTCACATATTTTTTTTTTTGGCTCACTCTGTCACCCAGCCTGGAGTGCAGTGGCACAATCATGGCTCACCACAGCCTCAATCTCCTGGGTTGAGGCAATCCTCTCACCTCAGTCTCCCAAGTAGCTAGGAGTCTGGGCACACACCACTATGCCCACCTTTTTTTTTTTTTGTAGAGATGAGGTCTCACTATATTGCCCAGGTTGCTCTTGAACTTCTGGGCCCAAGCAATTCTCTCGCCTGGGCCTTCCAAAGTGCTAGAATTACAGGTGTAAGTCACCGCACCTGGATTTTATTATTGTTGATTGTTTACTTCATCCTACTAGAACATGAGCCTCATTAGGGCAGGAATTTAACTATTATTCCTTGGTGCTTATCCTGAGATAACTCACACTGAGTTGTCAGCCAATAAATAGTTGCTGAATGAACAACTGAATGTTCACTCACTGGCTCCATGAGTGACACTGCCTGAGGAGCCCAATGGAGAAGGAGGCAGGGGCCTTGGTGGGAACATGGTTACTGGCAAGAAGAGTTTGTCAGACACAGCAGCTCTGCATGTTCCTAGCAGGTGTCTCCTGCCATCCCTTAGAAGGAGCTCATGCCCCATGGAAACCACGTCAAGAGACTGGGAAATGAGATGGCATTTCTTACCTCAGCTAAGCCCTCAATTCTGAGAGGGCAGCCACTCTGAGAGAATGGAAGAAATGCAGGGATATAAGAAGCCTTGCCTGGCTCCACCCTGAGAGGCCCAGGAAGCTGGGGCGGGGCTGGCCTAGCCAAGAGTGCGAGCCACTATCTGGTGTGCTCCTGGGCGCCCTTGCTCCTCAAGTCATCCTGCCATCTTTTCTTACAGTAGGAAGTACCCCCAGGTAAGACCCCTCTCCCTAATTGGGCAAAACAACCACTTTGAATCCTCGCTGATGGTGATGAGAAAAATGCCTGTCTCCATCTCTGTGGCTCACTGTAATGTAAGCCAGGAACCATTCTCTTAATGGGGAGAGGTCCAAACAGGCCAGGAGACTTAAGGTCAAATAGTTGGTCCACGGCTGACCTGGGACAGGATCAGGATCTTGACCAAGATCTCTAGCATACTGTCCCAGGTCAGCTATGGCCCAGCTGTTTGACCTGTCACCAGCTATGTTTCTCCATGTCACCTTTCGTTGCCCTTCCAGGATGCTTCTTTTTCATACCAGGAAGGTCTCGGAGGGGGTGGGGCTAGTAAGATTCCTTACTCTTTCTTGGGGGCCCTACCTACACCCTTCTCCCCACAGAGGCAAAGACCAATAGGAGTGGAACCCCCCACCCAATTTGCACACAAAGAGGCAGCTTTTAATTGCTCACTAATGCAATAGCATGGGACTGGTTTATGCATCAACTTAACAGCACAGAAACAAACCAGCACCCCTCTGGCAGGGGGCCATTCAGCACGGTGTGTCACAACTTGGTGGGAGCCCCACACACTGGATGTGTTCACATAGGCACGGTCCGGGTGGGGAAGAGGCTCCAAACCTATTCCATGAGCAACCTAACAAAGTGGGGTCACGTCCATTTTTTAGACTCAAGCATTCCAGAGACCAAGCTTCCCAGAAGGCGGACCCCAGCCTGCTATTGTTCTCAGTATATGAGGTGACAGGAGAACAAGAAAAAACAGAAGTGCCCTGGAACCCAAATGTAATCATTGCTTATGGGTGCATTTCATTATCTGCTGAACCAAAGAGAGCTCCCTGCCTCCTCCTGTCCTCGAAACCAACCCCTGCAACTACTACCGGAGTCATCCTTCTAGAACACAGAGTGGATCCTGCAGTGGCTTCCTATAATCCAGAGGACACCACAAAATTCCTTAACACGCAAAGAGCGAGCTCCCTTTCACCCTCCATGTCCCCATTCATTCTTTTATCCCCAAATCCAAGTCACACCAGACATCCTGTCTTTCCATGTCATGCAGGTCCCATCTGTCTGCCTTTGCTCATGCCAGTCCCTCTTTAAAATGCCCTTGCCCTCCATTTCTCTCTAGCAAAATCCACCTGACCTTAGACACTCAGCTCCCACACTACCTTCTCTGTAAGTCCTTCTCAGCCTTCTCCCCTCTGTTCCTACAGTCTTGCCCCTTATTCCTCTAACAGAATTAATGAGCAGTACTGTGCTAGGCTTACTACATAGGAACTGTCATTTTATTTGGTCAAAACCAACCAAATACCGGTACTTTTTTTATTGTCAAAAGTCACTTATTTCTTTTTTGTTTGTTTGTTTTTGCGTTGGAGTCTCACTCTGTCACCCAGACTGGAGTGCAGTGGCCGCTCCTGGCCACTGCAGCCTCGACCTGCTGGGCTCCGGCAATCCTTCCGCCTCAGCCTTCCATGTAGCTGGAACTACAGGTGCGCGCTACCACGCCCGGCTAATTTTTTTTTTAATTTATTGTAGAAATGAGGTCTCGCCTGCCCAGGCGGGTCTCGAATCTGCGGGCTCAGGCAATCCACTCACCTCAGCCGACCAAAGGCGCGGGATTACAGGCTGAGCCACCGAGCCCGGCACGTCACTTATTTCTATGCGAGTGAACTGCTTCCCATCTAAACTGCACTAAGGGCACTGAGTTGCTCTCTCTTTTGTTTTCTCAGCATCTGGTCCAGTGGGTGGCATGTGGTGGGGACCCAATGAATACTTGCTGAATGAATGAGAGCCATTTGGCAAGCTTCCATCTGCCACCTGTTCTGCTGTGTTGTGTGCTCCAACACAAAAGCAAAATGGGTTCAAGCGCAGTTGTGAAATAGTCTTCCGAATTCTCATCCTAGCCAAGTCAGGCTTGAGACATTTGCACAGGTGAAACAGAGTGTGAGAGCATCTGGGAACATACAGGGGTGAGGGGGCAGAAAATGATCCAGGACATCTACCTTTCTGGCAGGAGAAGCAGAGTCAACAGGTGACGGAGAGGAAGTAGCAGTTGGATCAGGAGGAGACGGAAGACAAGAGGGAGGAGATTCAGGATGAGTATGAGACAGGCCTTTAGAGAGTAGTTTATTCTGCAAAGAACGGAAATAGAGGAGACTATGATTATCCCAGAGACATATACAGTGATGCCTGTGTTGATGCTGTCCCATGCCCATGTGCCCTGGGGGTGGGGGAAGGCACAGAGGCCCGCTTCTCAGGACAATGCAGGAACCCCTGTGTTTGGAGCCAAGTAGGATTATCTGGCTCCTGGTTATACTGCATTCTGCCACGATTCCAGCTCCCTAGTTACACCAAAATAGCTCCCACAGATCCAATCTGTTCCTGCCTACATCTGCTCCAGGCATCAGCGCTAATTGCCGAAGCCCTCACCCTGGAGCTCGGTATGCAGTGGCAGCTGCAAGCTTAGGAGAGAAGAAGCCTGGGCTGCTGTGAGGCAGGTGGCCACAGCAGGGGCCCCTGCAGCCATCACCCACAGCTGTGCTGGCCTCCGGGCAGCCACAGAACCCCGCAATACACTCGTGTAAAGCATCCTCCCACACAGACTTCAATGACTATGCCAAGTAGCAGAAGACACAGGACTGGAGGAGACTGAGGGAAAACAGCAGAAAGTTAAGTTCTAGAGACAGACTTACTGCAGGCAAGGAGGACTTTACAGACCCACTTGCCTGTGGGATCTCATGATCAACTCTTTCATCTCCCTATGAGCACACATTTTCTTTTTTAGCAGGTTTTCCAAATGTGTAACTGGCTTAGAGGGGGCTTTCCTTTTGATTTGAAGGCAAGGGCAGTCACCTAGACATGACACCGATTCTTGGGGAAACAGAGCCTAGGTTGCAGCATGCAGTTGACCTCATCATTAAGTGTTTCCCTGATCAGGGCCACAGGGAGATTTACCCCATTGTGCCCCAAAACATCACAGGCAATTGGTTGGCTTTCACCTTAAAGTCATCCTTGGCTGGGCTCGGTGGCTCAGCCTGTAGCACTTTGGGAGCCTGAGACGAATGGATTGCCTGAGTCCGTGCGTTTGAGACCAGTGCAGGCAACTTGGCAAGACTTCGTCTCTACAATAAATCAAAAATTAGCTGGGTGTGATGGCACATGCCTGTAGTTCCGGCTACTTGGAAGGCTGAGGTGAAAGGATTGCCTGAGCCCAGCAGGTCGATGCTGGGGTGGCCATGAGCGTGCCACTGCACTCCAGTCTGAGCGATGGAGTGAGACTACAACTCAAAAAAAAAAAAAGACATCCTTAAGGTGAAAGTGGTTCTTGCATCTGACCAGTGTTCCCTCTTTGTCTTGACCTTCAGGAAGCTCAGAACTTGCTTAGAAACAATCTAGGGTCTACCAGTATGTGTCTCTTGTTTTCGAAACATTTCCCTTGACCTGAGCTTACTTTCCTGCCCTGGTTTTTCCTCTGCCGTGATGGATCTGCTTATTTTGATCCTTCTCATTTGGGTCTTTTTTAGATGTCAACTTAAAGACACTTGAATTCTTTAGTGTCTTGAAACATGAACAGCTCTCTACGCTATAAAAGGAGCAGGAAGGGATACCTTAAGCTCTGGAGACCAACTCCTGGTCACCTGGCTGGATGTCTAACATCCAGGTTCCTGAGGCTCCGAAAGCCCCGTGTTTACCTGAGGGAAATCCCCTTGTCCAAACATAGAAGCGAGGTGAGCCGCCTTCTCCTTAATGTTCTTTTTGTGAAATTCCCTGTTGGCCAAGTTCTGGGCCCTCTTCTGCAGTCAAGGTGAGAAAGGAGAAAGAAGAGAGAGGCAGTGACAGAGACTGTGATGGCTCTCCCCAAGAGGAGGGCAAAGGAGGTGATCAGGGTGTGTCTGGCAACCACACACAGCAGGACAGGAGACAGAGGGTAGGCAGGAGGAAGAGGAAACCACGAGGGCAGGCGCAGGGAGGGGAAAGACAGGCAGTCACCCAGACACGGACAGAGACAGGGCCAAAAGCGAGTCTTTCACCTGGAGAATCTTTTCCTCCACTTGCTGCAGCCGCTGCAGCACCCCAGAAAGGGCCTGTGCCCCCTGGCGGGTGGGAGGCAGGGTAGCGAAATTCTCTGGTCCACCCAGCTGCAGGTCAGACTTGGCTCTGACTCTCCACGGCCTGCTTGGGCACTCGCCGCCAGCAGACACTTGCTTGAGCTCTCTGAGTACATGCACCGGCACAGCCACAGAGGGGAACTGGGAAAGAGGGACCGTTAAGCTTCTCCCCCCCCCCCGACTCCCCTGCGGCCCACTGCAGCCTTTTCATGTACCCCTGCTGTAAGAAATCCTCTGTGAGGACTGGAGCTGCTGGGCACAGCAGATGCCATTCTAAGAGTCCAAACTAACCACAGGTATTGCCTTTCTTCCACTCGCATCAAAATCACATAGCACCCTCATTAACAACACGTAGCCTGATCCTCCCCTCAAGAAACCCTGAATCAAAATCTGTGCAACCCTGGTTCTCAATCCTAGCTGCACACTGACATCATCTAGGGTAAAAAGAAAAAGAAGCCGAGCTCGGTGGCTCAGCCTGTAATCCCGCACCTTTGGAAGGCTGAGGTGAGTGGACTGCCTGAGCCCATGGGTTCGAGACCTGCCTGGGCAACTTGGCGAGACCTCATCTCTACAATAAATCAAAAAAATTAGCTGGGCATGGTAGCGCGCGCCTATAGTTCCAGCTACTTGGAAGGCTGAGACGGAAGGATCGCCGGGCCCAGCAGGTCGAGGCTGCTGTGCCTGGGAGCAGCCATTGCACTCCAGTCTGGGTGACAGAGTGAGACCCCAACTCAAAAAAAAAAAAAAAAAAAGAAAAAGACCCAAGTCTGGGCCCAACCCTGAGAGATTCTGATTTGATTGTTCTGGACTGTGCACAAGAGGTTGATAGTTTTAAAAAAAACTCCCTGGGGGATACACAGGCCCCAAATTGCTACATTTTATTTATACCTACCTTACACAACCTCCACCACCCAGAAGCAACACACAATTTCTAATGCTGACCAGATGTCTTTGAAATCTGTGGCCAGTACTGGTGAGTCTGTTCAAATTCCAAATCCAGAGATGCTAACTGGAATAAGCCATAGGCCGTAGCTGCCAGCTGCCCCTCTGCCCACCATGAAGGCCCTTGGCTACTGTGGCACCAGGAAGCACTTTGCCATATCCAACCTTACGCTTCCAATGGGTACAGCCAAGGGGCCACCTGAGCCCATTCCAGCATCACTTTGTCATTGATTTGGCCATCAGCCTATTCAAATGGTCTACAAATAAAGCTGTGTGTCACAGGGCATCACATGAAATAACCATGTGGTACAGTTTGTTTTTCCCCAAGCAGCACCATCAAGACCATGGTGGTTGGTCACTTGATGGCTCTGACCAGCTGAGGAATCAATGGAACATATTTCACAATGCTGCATACTGGCTATTCTATTCTTACCTATGAGGCTGGTGACCTCAGGGTGTGTCCGCTTGCCCAGAGAGTCTACAGTGAGCCCTACTTCGGTGTAGAGAGAGCCCCTGCCCCTACCCCTCTGGATCAAAATGTCCAAAACAGCATCCACTGGAAGGAGCCCTACCTGCCTTTTCAGAGGAGGTGATGGGCTGGGTGTGGGCTCCTCCGGCTTGGGGCAGCGAGAGTGAACAGGAGGGTCAGAGGGAGAGCACAGAATGGGCTTACCTATCCCTGAGACACGGCGCTCCTGGGAGGAGAAAGGCGAGTTCAAAGAAGCAGCCGCAGAAGACATGAAGGAAGAGAGAGTCAGAATGAGATGCACGGAGGGAGAAGAGGAGCAAGGAGACACAGCAGGCAAGTACAGAGAGAGCGCTGGGCTGAGCTCCCACAAGCCAGACCCAGCTGGGAAACTTGAGCCCTGTGAACAGCGAGTCCTGGAGTCCCCTCCTCATGGAACAACGTGTGAATCCCAGGGCGGCCTTGCTTCTGGCTCAGACACAAGGCCTTGGGCAGGCACTTCCAGGGCCCATGCCAGGCCAGGGTGGCTGGCCCGGGAGGCCTACTGGAGACAGAAAAGTTTCCTGCCCACTTGAGATATGCCAGGGCTTCTGATGGAATAGAGCCCTCTGTAACACCTGGGGACCGAGCAGCCAAGCCTCCAGAAGGCCCAGCTGAGAAAACTTTTAGAGAATGACGTGTCGCCGGAAAATGACCCCTTATGATAAAATCACTTCACTTTCAAGGAAGGTCTGGGAGAAAGATGGTCCACATATCAAGACCAAGAAGACATCTATGATTGCCTCTATAGTGAATTAACCAAGAGTTTGTCCTCCTCACACAAGCCTAATTCTGTCATGTGGCAGGTGTTCACCGTAGGAAAACCCTTTCTCCAAGCTTTTATAAGGTGACAACAGCATCTCAAAGGAAATTTAGGGAACCAAACTGAATTATGAGGCCACACACCTCCACGCCAGAATCAGAAGGTGGCAGCCTGACCTACAGCGTTCAACCTTCTTTGGCCTCAGATGAGCCCCTATCAGACAAAACAGCCCTGCCAAGCTGACTGGGGGTACTGGGAGAGAGAGGAGCACTGAGGAATGCTTGGGAGGTTGGCTCCCAATACTGTGTCCTCTGAGTCTGTGCTTCCAGGATGAATGGGTCTGTTCCCCATGGACTTAGTACTCTCTCAGACAGACTGCATCTCAAAAGCTCCCCCAAGCTGTCTTAAAAATGGGTGCAAACCAAGTCATCGTTGGGAAGCAAAAACTAATTAGGAAATGGATTTCTTTAATGCAGAACAGGCATCCGCAAACTATGGTCCCTGGGCCATCTCTGGCCTGCTGCCTGTTTTTGTCAACAAAGTTTTATTGGAACACAGTCACACTAGTGTGCTTTCATGCTACAATGGCAGAGCTGTTTAAGTAGAACAGAGGCAGTATGGCCTCCAAAAATTGTGAAAAATTTTCTATCTGACCTTTTATAGGAAAGTCTATTGACTCTCAATCTAGAGGAAGCCAGGTCTCGCTGGCAGAGCTGAAGTTTGTCAGCAGTCTGAACATTATTGCTGACTCCTTGCAGGTTCTGATCACTAGGAAGGCAGGCCCAGTAAGTATCCTACGTGACTCACCTGCTTCAGGAGTGAGGGGTTCCGAGTGCTCTCCTCAAACTTGGCCAGCAACTGATTTGCCATAGACTTGACTTTGTTCTGATTTCCACCTTCTTGACTGCTGCTGCACTCTTGAGTGGAGCCCAAGCTACGGCTGGAAAAGGCCGATGGCTGCAAAGGTCAAAAGAGTACATTGGTGGGTGAATCCCGGAGTGCAGAAGTCAGAAAGGAGGCTGGGACCTCAGGACACAGGATGAGTTTTCTGCAGAAGGATTCCCTGCATGGTCCAAGGAAGGGAGACAGAAGCAACAGGACTAGCAGTATAACAATGCTCACAGGAGGGATGAGTCTTTCCAAAGCATGGGCACACCCAGGCTTGGGAGCCAGTTAGGGTCTGAATCTCCACTCATTTCCCACCCCTGTGACCTGGGCGATTTACTTAACTTCTCTGTAAAGGGAACAGTAATCCATTTCACATGGTTATTGCAAAAATCAAATATAATAATGAAGTGTTGAGCAAATGGTTTTCTTTTTTTTTGTTGAGTTGGAGTCTCACTCTGTCGCCCAGACTGGAGTACAGTGGCTGCTCCCGGCCACCACAGCCTCAACCTGCTGGGCTCCGGCGATCTTTCTGCCTCAACCTTCCAGTAGCTGGAACTACAGGCACGTGCCACCACGCCCGGCTCATTTTGATTTATTGTAGAGATGAGGTCTTGCCAAGTTGCCCAGGCGGGTCTCGAACCCACAGGCTCAGCAAATGGTTTTCAAAATGCATCATGCAGCTGAGAAGAGGAGAAGAATTGGGATGGAGGGATGAAGGAAACAAGAGGGGTACCACTCAGACAAGGCCCAGGCTCTGGGCATCTTTCCCCTCTCTCTACTGTTCCCTAACCACAGCTTCATCCATCCCCACTCTGTTTTTGCTATCCTTTAAAAAACTTTTAATTTAGAAATAATATATATGTTTTTTGAGTTGGAGTCTCACTGTCGCCCAGACTGGAGTGCAGTGGCCGCTCCTAGCCACCACAGCCTTGACCTGCTGGGCTCTGGCGATCCTTCTGCTTCAGCCTTCCAAGTAGCTGGAACTACAGGCGTGCGCTACCACGCCCGGCTAATTTTTTGATTTATTGTAGAGATGAGGTCTCGCCAAGTTGCCCAGGTGGGTCTCGAACCTGCGGGCTCAGGCAATCCACTCACCTCAGCCTCCTAAAGGCATGGGATTATAGGCTGAGCCACCGAGCCTGGTTGGAAATAATTTTAGATGAACACACAAGTTGCAAGGATAGCACAGGCTGTCCCTGTATACCCTTCCCCCAGCTGCCCCCAATGTTAAATCTGAAGTAATTGCTACTGTTCTCAAAACTGAGAAATGAACATGGGTACAATACTATTAACTAAATCATAGACTTTATCCAGATTGCACCAGTTTTCCCACTAACATCCTTTTTCTGTTCCAGGATTCAATCCAGGATCCCACACTGCATTTTGTCATCATGTCTCCTTGGTCTCCTTCAATCTGCAACAGTTTCTCCATCTTTTCTTGTCTTTTATGAAGTTGGCCCATTTGAAGGGTACTGGGCAGCTATTTTACAGAAAGATCCCTAGGGGACCAAGGGGCAGTCCAAATGTTACCTGTATGATGACAACTTGTGTATCTAATCCTGAATTGTACCCCACATCTTTAAAATTAAATAAATAAACAATCCTCCAAGCCCCCCCCCCCCCAAAAAAGATCCCTGGCTGGGCACAGTGGCTCATGCCTATAATCCCATCACTTTGGGAGAGGTGATATTGAAGGATTGCTTGGGGCCAGGAATTTGACACCAGCCGGGGCAACATAGTGAGACCCTGTCTACACACACACACACACACCTACACACATACACACACACACACACACACACACACACACACACACACACACACACACACTAGCTGGGCACAGTGGCATATGCCTGTAGTCCCAGCTACTCAGGAGGCTAGGACGGGAGTATCACTCGAGCCTAAGAGGTGAAGTTGGAGGATTGCTTGGGGCCAGGAGTTTGACACCAGCCGGGGCAACATAGTGAGACCCTGTCTACACACACACACACCTACATACACACACACACACACACACACACACACACACACACACACACACACACTAGCTGGGCACAGTGGCATATGCCTGTAGTCCCAGCTACTCAGGAGGCTGGGATGGGAGTATCACTCGAGCCTAAGAGGTGAAGGTTACAGTGAGCCATGATCACACCACTGCACTCCAGCCTGGGTGACAGAGCAATACCATGTCTCAAAAATACAAACCAGGCGGGGCGCGGTGGCTCAGCCTATAATCCCAGCACTTTGGAAGGCTGAGGTGAGAGGATTGCCTGAGCCTGGGGGTTTGAAGCCAGCCTGGGCAACTTGGTGAGAACTTGTCTCTACAATAAATCAAAAACTAAGCCGGGCATGGTAGCGTGCCTGTATTTCCAGCTACTTGGAAGGCTGAGGTGGAAGGATTGCCTAAGCCCAGCAGGTCGAGGCTGTGGTGGCTGTGACTGTGATACTGTACTCCAGCCTGGGCAACAGAGTGAGACTCCAACAACAAAAACAAACAAACCCCAAAGCAAGCAAAAAAAAAAAAAATTAATGCATAAATACAAAGAGTAGTAACCTCAGAGGAAACCTTATATGTACAGCCGCTCTGAAGTGTTGGACAAACACAAACCAGAGAGGCCCTCTCTACTGCAAAGTGAAATGTAACTGCACGTCAGGACAGGCTTGAAAAGAAGGCATGTTTACTAGAACAGGCACTGTTTGCACAAGACCAAAGTCAACCAAGACAGTGGGCCACCCAGGCCAGCACCCTTCAGACACAAATGTGCACATGAAGCATCTGGAGATGGATCTTCAAAAGCAGACTTGTTCTCCGTAGGTCTAGGGTGAGCCTGAAAGCCTGCTTTTCTAACAAGGTGAGGCTGATGCTGTTGGATCTTGGACCACGCTTTGAGTGGCAAGAAGGGAGAAAGAATGTTTTGTTAAAGCTGACTTTGAGTAGGGCAGCTGTCCCAGAACATAGTCCAGGGCCATCTGTAAAGGGGCAGATGCAAACCAGATTTCTTCCCACTCCCACTCCTGTGCTGCTAACAACAGAAACAGCACAAACACCCCCCTTAGATAAGCCAAGAATCAAAGGCAGGAAGAGACTTCCACATGAGACAGAGTGTACCCAAGGGAGGCTCTTCAGGAGGCCAGAGGCAGTCCCAGGCACTGAAGGTGGAAAGCCGACAGCCATAGCCTGGGAGATGGAATGTGTTTCCCGCCCCGTTAACCAGCCTCTGCTTCCTCCTGCCCATTATCTCCCTGCTTGTTGGCTTCTTGCTCACATCCCAGCCGACAGGTGGAGAAGCAACAGTTCTTGAAGGAATTGCCCAAAGCAGTTCTGGAATATGTTCAGACAAGGGTGATCTGAACTCATCAGATAAAATGGGTTTGTTCAGAATTTAAGACATGAACTGAACTCCAGTTTTCCCTTATCAGTGCTTCTCTTCGACCACCCTGGAAAACGGGGTGTGTAGTAGCAGCTGCCTTCCCCCATGGTGGGCCTCATGGCTCTACTTATTATCACGTTCACTTTTGGGAGACGCAGCAATGACATACAGATATACAGCACTGAAACCTCTTCGACCACATAAAATAAAGTCTCTAAGTCCTATAAGTCAGGTATCAGTGTATTACACAGATTGTCCCACATGCCTTCAAATCACCATTTCGACACCAGCCAGTAGGCTAGCTACAGCGGTCATCGTACCCTTCGCTGACAGTGTGCAGGCTTGTGGAATTAGAATGGCTTCTTAAAAAAATAACGAAGTGTATATCTCAGGTCTCTTTAAAGAGCTGCCTGGGAAGAAGGAAATCATTCTCTTTTTCTGGGGATAAATTTTTCAGAAGCAGGTGAGAGATTCACGTCTACCTTTGACAAGGTAGCCTACAATTTTCTTCTTTTATCAGAAGGTGGCACTAGTGGACACTGGGACATCATCCTTAAGGACTAAAAGCACAGAAAACACAAAAGAATACAAATAGACAATGACTGGGAGAAGGGTGAGACTGCTGGTGCCTCTATACTATTTGCTATTAATAGTGACTACATATTAACATATGTATCAGATACCAAGTTCGACATGTTCTGTACATCAACTTCTTAATCTTTAAAAACCCTGTAACGTCTCATACATTTTAAGCGTGCCATTCCATTTTTGCAGATGTGAACCACATCCTGGGAGATCGGATTTCTCAAGCAAGTAAGTAGTTACTACATAGCTCGTAAGTAGTGAAACAAGGGCCTGAACCCTGACTGTTTTTCCATCAAGCCAAGCTTGGAAACCAGTGGTTCATGGGAGAGACAAGGAAGGGGTTCAGGGCTGCTGCTGCGGTCAAGCAGCCTGTGGGCTCTGGTTGTCAGGAAATGAGCCTCTGTTTAAATGGACACTATGCACACAAACCTCGTCCAGGTTGTTGAAGCCTTTCCGCCTCCGTTTGTTCATGTCATTCTCTCCAGTTTGGACATCTACCTGCAATGGCCAAGAAAGCATGGTAAGCTCAGGGGGACTGGCAAGGGCTCAACCCCACTAAGATCCCCGAGGCCACAGGGCCAGCCTTGAGCTGGCACCAAGGACATATTGCTGCCTGCAAACAGCTGCCAGCCTACAGGCAGGCATGGTAATTAATGACCCTGCTCTGTGACAAATGCTGTTTGGTTCAGGCACAGTGAAAGGAAACTTCTTCCACCTGGGGAGCCAAGGTTTTGGTCAGAGGAGGTGAGAATTACGTACCAAAAGATCATCATGCAACAACCCAAAGCTAAAAGAAGCCCTGTGACATGGGTAGGGCAGGGGTCATCTACATTGCAAGGTAACCTTGGGCTCAGAGCAGTTTAATGACTTGCCCAGGGTCACACCCAGGCCAGCTGATATCCCTCAGTGTGCTGCCTTCTGGAGACCATCTGGGGTCTCTCTGTACCCCGGGAGCCTCTCTTCCACAAAGAGGTGACACTGGTTCATCTAGAAGGGATTCTCAGGGCTCAAATGGGCTGCCCAGGGATTGATGGCAAATTAAGTCTGCAATTCAATTATTACCACAGCTACTAGTAAACTATATTTTAATAACTTCAAATAAGCATTAGGTGTAGCTGGATGACTAGAATGACAGTCCAGCTCCGCTCCCCCCCCAGCCTAATTATTAAGATGCCCCTCTCACTCTCAGAAGCCTCCCAGTTCAGATAATACATTACGTGGTGTCCCTACTCATAACTTCTCACAGTCCACTCTCTGCAGCCTGAATCTGGACATTTAAATCTGGAAATCCCTGCTCTGCCCAAGCCCATTGTATCATCTCTGAAAGAGCTGCCGCTAGGCACTCCTACTGTCAGGCTTGTCTCCTAGGGGAATGAGCAGGACTGCAGAGGCTGAGCTGATGTCGTGGGTTGGGATGGGGTAGCAGCTAAATCTAGTACCTCTTGTGTACCCCTGTGGTTAAGCCTACCCTTGACACTAGTCAAGAACCTACCTAGGCTCTCTCCATCCTCTTCTGGGATTGAACCTCTCAACCACCAGCCTGTAGCCTCTGAGGCCCTTCTCCAAATGATCAACTCTCTCAGGACCACGGAGACATGCCTCTCCCCCACCTATATCCTGGCTGCGGAAAGCTTCCTACACTCTCAGAGGGGCCCTCCATAGCAAACCCAGATTAAATCATAGCCTTCTACCACTTTGGAGGCAGTGAGAAGGGTTACAGGCCACCCACTCACCACAAGCCCAGGCATACAGCCCAATCAGCCCCATAAATCCTAACTTACCCAATCACAGGAGGAATCTTTGACCTTCTGGCTGTTCTGAAACAACAGTAACTCTGGGAGCCTCAGCACACAGTCTACTACATACTCCCTGCCTCCAACGGAAAGCACCTGCTTCCTCAGCTCTTGTCCTCCATCTCATCCCCTGCCCCTTCCTCACGTTTACCAGTCCCAGTTTTTTTAAAAAGCCAAGATCAAGCACAGTGTAGTCATTGATATTTGTTCAAAAATTTGACCCAGGCAGTACAAAACAACACATCAAAGGGCCCTGCCTTCTCTTCAACATTTTCCTCTGCTTCTAATAAATCATTATTCTGTGAATGGAAATGATTTCAAGCCAAAAGCTTGGGCAAACACCAAGAGAAACAGATGACCTTATTTGCAACAATGTTGGGTCTTAGAGGCGCAGGCATCAGCTCCACATCCCGTGAATGCTGCTCTGGCCCCAGGACCAGAGCCTATGAAAGTACAGAATGTCCTACCCAAGGAGCAAGAACACTTTGTGCATAATCTTAGGGTTTTCTGTTGTTGTTGTTTTTTTTTTGTTTCCACTTTAAATGAGAAGTTGCCTCTTCCTCCAAAGAGCAACACATCTTACTCTTTCTTGCACTCAACAGTCCAGACTGTTAAAACAACCAGAGTTTATATAGATACAAATCAGTCATGTTGGCCAGGCTTGGTGGCTCAGCCTGTAATCCCAGTACTTTGGGAGGCCGAGGAGAGTGGATTGCCTGAGTCTGCAGGTTCAAGACCAGCCTGGGCAACTTGGCAAGACCTTGTCTCTAGAATAAATAAATAAAAATTGGATGAATGTGGTAGCACACGTCTGTAGTTCCAGTTACTTGGAAGGCTGAGGCAGAAGGATCATCGGAGCCCAGCAGGTTGACTCTGGAGTGGCTGTGAGAGTGCCACTGCACTTCAGCCTGGGTGACAGAGTGAGACTCCATCTCAAAAAAAAAAACACACAAAAAACAAGTCAGTCATGTTAGCCATGCACTCATAGAAGGCATTCTGGGGACCTGTGCCCAGCCAGCAGCTCCTAAGAAGACTCCTAGTCCTTTGGGGGAATAAAGGAAGTGGACAGGGGCAACCTCAGCAAATCCAAACCACCCTTACACATAGGACAATAAAATGCAGTCTACATGGGAAGGTTAGCAATGCACATACCCAACTGTGTCTACTCTTCCTTATGAGTTTATCATCAAAGCATTAATTCTCAACTAAAAGTTAGGCTAAAACAAAAAGGTTAAGAAAATTCAAACTTAGAGATTCATCTGCTTTGTCACATCTGTATGTCTATATTTTAGAGCCAAAACTGCCTCATTATTCTATCTCCTTGGCCCCTATTTTATACTACAACGAATTAAAAGAACAAAGGGAAAGAAAATACTTATTGTGCCCAGTCAGAGAAAGCATGAGAACAAATAAGTTACTTTCTTTTTCTATTAATGTTTACAGCTTTCCCACCCTAAAAATGCCTTCTTATCATGATTTCACAATGATTTGAATGAGTCTATACACCAAAAAGCATTTATTAAACTAATTGGTTTCTCCATTAGGAAAAAAAATCAAAGACATGTATATCTGCCAATCTTATTATTTATATGATCAGCATAAGATAATCATGTTCCCATACTGCCTGAGTTAATGTGACTTTAGCTCAAAGCAAACAAACTTTATATTTAGTTAGCTGGTGTCGTCTAGCCCTGGAAAAATTTAGATCTGGGTCATAGGAAGAGAGATTGACTGCTGTAGAGATTGGCCTAGTTGAGTTGGGCAGCAGCTCAGATATTTAGAAAGATGGCCAGTAACACTAGCAAGAGAGCTGTTTCTTCAAGGAAGCATGGGTTTGAGTTCTGGAATTCATTACTTCTCAACCATGTGACCTTAGGAAAAGTATCCAATTACTCTGACTTCAGTTCCCTTTCCTATCAGAAGGGACTTTATATTGTTTAGTTCCTAGGCCGTTGTGAGAAGTAATGAAATCAAGGAGGTAAAACACTTCTTAAACTATAAAGTGGCTCAGCCTGTAATCCCGCACTTTGGGAGGCTGAGGTGAGTAGATTGCCTGAGCCCACGGGTTCGAGACCTGCCCGGACAACTTGGCAAGACCTCAGCTCTACAACAGATCAAAAAAAAAAAAAAAATCAGCCGGGCGTGGTAGCGCATGCCTGTAATTCCAGCTACTCAGAAGGCTGAAGCGGAAGGATCACCAGAGTTCAGCAGGTCGAGGCTGCAGTACCTGGGAGCAGCCACTGCACTCCAGTCTGGGTGAAAGAGTGAGACTCCGACTCAAAAAACAAAAACAAAAAACAAAAACAAAAACAAACTATAAAGTTCCAGACAATACTACCCTCTTATCCAGGGGGCATACATTCTAATACCCCCCCCAGTGGATGCCTGAGACCAAAGATAGTACCAAGCCCTACAGTTGATCTAGTAACTGAGATTCTACTAGGTGACTATTCTAGTGTAGATACCTACACCAGGAGATGACTCACATCCCAGGTAGGACAAAGTGGGATGGTGTGAGATTTCATTATCTACTCAGAATGATGTGCGATTTAAAGCGATTTAAGAGTTGTTTATTTCTGAAATTTTCATTTCATATTTTTGGACCATGACCACGGGTAAGTGAAATCTTGAAAAACAAAATTGCACATAAGGGGGGACTAGTCTAGTATGCAAGTGTTAGACACTGTGATAGGAGTTAGCATTAGTAACAGAATTTTAAATATCTGAATTCTACTTCTGCCTTTGACATTTACCACCTGTATGACTTATCATAACAAAATCTCCCTGAGTTCAGATTTCTCCACCTAAAAATTGGTATGCGAAGATGTTCCCAGTCATCCTCCAAAGGTGACAAAAAGAGCAAATGAGATCTGTATGATGTGTACTGAAGCGCTGTGTCAATTGTGGTTGCAGTTTGAAACCAAGTGTTCAATCCAGATCATTTTACTCATCTTTTCAGAAAACAAGCATCTTCACTGAACCGTCTTTCCTAAAGAAAGGGAACTGTCATTTACTGAGCCCCTACCACCTGCCAGACATGGTCAACAGACACCATCTTTGCGGCAACTCTAGGATATGTTATCACCCTCATTTTTCACACAAGGAAAGGAGATTTCTGAGAGGTTAGAACATTTGCTGAATCCCTAGCAGACCTATGCCTGGCTTCAAATTGCATTCCCAATCTGTAAATCAGCTCTGAATCCTAGACAGAGGTTGCGCAGAGGGGAGCGCATGGCCTCAGTGGTGACCTACAAACCACAGGTGCCTCTCGAAGTTGAAGCACAATCTCAGAAGGGGCAGGAAGGAAGATCAAGCTTAGAGGGACCCATACGTATAGATGTTGTGGGAGGGGGACGGCAGGCTACGGTACAGAATCATGCAAGTCTGACCTACCCTGTATCTCTAAGGGCGCATGGCAAAGGGTATTGAAAATTGAGCGACTAATTGTACCAACATCTTTTTAGTGTGACCGTAGTGGAGTCTCTAGGTACAGACAAGGATGGGTGTGCAGAGTTTAGAGTCTTGTGTATGGCCATCCTCCATGTCTATGCGGACCAGACTGGCCTGAACTCAGCACTCTTTGCTTGGGGGAGTATTAAGGCCAAAGAGCATTGCCAACAGGTTTCCCAAATCCCCCTTCCCCCTAAAAAAATCCAGATAACCCAAGATGACACCAAGTGTCATCTGTATGGCCCCAATCACCATGCTGGCCTTGAGTGGTAGATAAAATGCTAAGGCATTTCAGTGATGGCCAAGGCAGAGTCATCTGGCGGTGATGCTCCAGTAGTCTTATTAACCCATTTACCCTTCCAGGGGATGCACTCCATGGCTCTTACCCCATGACTAAATCTCTCTCCCAATCCAAAGGGTGGGACAAAGTTTAGAGATTAGATGAGCTTGAGAGAGGGCTCAGATCTGTGGGCCTTAAAAACCTCTCAAAATGGGCAGCCAAGGGACACTCTCTGAAGGAGACTGGACGTGGTTCACAGAGGACCAGGTTGGGCTGGACAGAGCCTGAGGGTGGCAAAATGAGGGCCTGCAGCCTTCAGAGAATCTGGCTGGCCTTGCCAACTCCCGACTTCTGACCGTCCCCACCCCCCAGCCAGCACTGGCTTGGCTGTTTCGATTCGGTCACTCTGTAAACAGAGGTGTGGTAAGTGAAAGGTTGAAACATCCCTCTCCAGTTCCCTCTGTGGGCCAAGTGGGAAAGACATGGTGAATGGAGAAAGGCGGTAGATGTCTGGCTCAGAGAGCTTCTGGAAAGACTTCACTGGCTTGCTTGGGGCAGAGCAGCCCCAAACAGGGGTCCTTGGGCTTCAGAAGCAAAAGGGCTAGGCTGGGGTGGGAAAAGTCACCCACTGGTCTTCTGAAGAACAGCATTGCTGGCTCAGTGGGAGACACGGTGGGCAACTTGATCCTCGCACAGAGCCTCTGGGTCTGGGCAGCTTGGGAAGCAGAGGGAATGTGGCTGGGTGCAGTTCATCAGTTTGCTGCTCTGTCTCACACCTTCCTTGTGCAGTCCTGGCCTTGCTAGCCCATTCCTTCCCAGAAGCACACAGTATCCTGCTCCTGGAGTTAGCAAAACAGCTGTCATAGCATTCCAAAAGCAGGGAGTGCAGGCCTCAGTGGAAAAAGTGACCACTGCTCACACAACCCAGGGAAAAAAATAAGGTTGGGTGACCCTACCCCACTCTGGGTGGAGGGACTGGTAGGACAAGACAGCATTGGCTTGGGGTGAAGAGACAGTCGGCCACCTAGAGAGACTCAGAAACTTGCAGGGGGCTCCGGCCCACTGTCCTGTTGCAGAAGGACACTGGCCATCCTGGAGAGAGAGGGCATGCTCTGGGCAGGCATTTACAACCGCCCCTGCCTCGAATGGCTCTCCTATCAGTGGCCTCACTCTGGCTCTGTTCTCCTTGACCCCTCTTCTCTCCTCGGCTCCCACAGACCACCCCAGCAACTCCCCACTCCAGTCCTAGAACTCTGACATTTGCCGTCTGCCCCAGTGCGTCCACATCCTGCAATCTTTCCTCAGCTTGGCCTTGGCTGACCTGCTGGTTGCCTGACACTGTATCTGGAGCCCATCTTATAGAACAGCTCTCCTCCTCCCTGCCTTTCTGGCTGTCTCTCCCCATCTTCTTTCCTGGCTGCTCTGCCTCTGGTCAGCCCCTGAAACTCTCTTGTTCCCCAAGGTTCTGACCCCTGGTCCTTAGTCTTCTCCTTATCTTCCCAGTGTCTTATTTTCCCAACTGGACTCGAAGGTCAAGACTACATCACATCTACAAGTCCTACCACTGGATACATGAGAGATACCTTTTTATGACTGGACCAATTAGTGTCGAAGGATGTGTCGTACTGGGACAAAGCAATGAACTACAACTAAGTAGTGTGTGACCTTGGCCAAGGCATCCAGACTCTCCAGGTCTCCATTTTTTACTCATAAGATGAGCACATTAAGCAAGAAAACTTGCATTATACCTCCTGAGATGCTAGCATTAAAAAAAAATTGTCACCGCACATTAGGCATCTGATTTCCAAGCTGTATACCAAGGCACCCCATGGTAGCACAGTGAACACCAGGATATTTACAATTTTCTAGGTGTCTGCTAGACACCTTAAAAATACCACTAAGTTATTCAGATCTCAGCTATATCAAACTGTTAGGTATTTCTTTTGATCTAGAGACACTGGGGGAAAAAATTACAGTCACGTAGAATGCCTTAAGTCAAGAAAATTTTGGAACCTCTTTATTAGGCTCTGAGCTCCTCAAAGGCAAGGCCCACTTATTATTCACGTCTGTATATTTGATCCCTCATCAAAAACAAACAAAAGGCACAGTCCTACAGTTGGCATATACTAGAGCCCAGTAAATATTTGTTGAATGAACGAATAAATAAAAAGCGATGGAACAGATATGTACACATATCATCATCACCATACACTTCTGCCACTAAACTGATGACCATCGTGCTCTGGATCTAAATTGCTTAGCAGAGCGGGAAATCATCTTGTTCCATTCCTCTGGAGGCTGAGTTAATCTGATTTACTTTCAAAAATACTCGCCAGCATGTCCTCTTAACTCGCTACCGTGCTCTTCCAAAAACACTCAGTCACTAAACCGAGTTTTACTCATCTCCAGTGAGTGCCTCTCTGTAATTTATCAGCATAAACAGACTGAGGCAGACTGAAAACGTGAAATTCTCTGTTCCTCATGCCCCACCCACGTGCAATGAGAAATAAAACAAAAACCAGGCCAAGACTTACTCGTGGCGTCCTCTTCCTTGGAAACGTGAGGTTAAGATAGTTATTTGAAATGGATGACTTGGTCAAGCCGAGGTCAGAAATTTCTGTGTAGTTTTTGCACCAAGAATCTGTTGGGAAATAAAAGCACAACTACGATTTGGATCCTGGACCCAGGAGGTGTTGCTGTGACCAGGAGGTATCGTTGCAACAATATCCCTCTAAAATAATTATCTCGCCCCAAACTAAAGATGTAAACGGCCTAGATAGGGGAGCTGATATGGCTCTATCAGGGTCCTCCCAGTGATGGAGCAGGGAGCCCTGTGTGACACCCACCATACAGATCTACATATACTACAGGGTCAGGGTGAGTGGGGTCACTCATTTGGCCTCAAAGTCACAGGGAAGGCATCGGCTAGCCCCAGAACAGATGATATCAGTTTTAGGAGCAGACAGTCTCAGACACAGGACAGAGTGGCTCAAGGGGCCATACAAAGCCTCTACACAGGTCCTTACCCACAGGCCTCAGCGGGGTACCCCGGAAGAGCTCATAGAACTTGGAGAGGTACATGACCATGCTGAGCTTATCAGGCTCCTGGGCTGATGCCATCTCTTTGCCCGTAGTCACTGGAGGAATCCCAAACTCACGCTCGGCCACGTCAAATGCCAGCTGGTTGTTTGCCACAGCGTCATCTTCATTTAAAGAGTCAAAGTTGCTAGAAAATCACAGCAAAGAAGAGAAATTCAGAGAGATGAGGTAGAGGTGGGACAAGCAGAGCACCGTCAGCCTAAGGAGCACCGCGGAGTGACCCCCTTGCCAACTGTCAGCGGGGTGGGGGGAAGGGGCAGTGACCCCAGCCTCTGCCCCTCACTTTCTACCCCACTGCCTCAGAAGAGGCTAACCCATCCTTATCACTCAGGGAGGACCAAATCAGACTGCTGTCTGGGTAGAAACCATCAGAAAATGATTTAGACCTGTCAGGAAAATGTATGAGCTACTTTATACTTTAAATATTTCCTTTTTTTTTTTTTTAATTACAAAAATGATGTGTGTGTGTTGTAAAATAATCCAGTTATATAACATAAACCATGAGAGTTCATCTTCTTCTCAAGGCAGTCTTACTTCCTAAAGGTACCAACTGATAGCTCTTTGGTAGGTTTCTGGTCAGGCTTTTTGGATGGATTTGAACATCAGGGTGAGGTTATAATGCTGCTATTGAACTAAATCTAAATGTGTCATGCTTTGGACATCCCAAGGTCTTTCCACAAACATAATACAATCTTCCCCACGACCCTGCTATTATTCTCAATTTATAGACAAAGACTCTAAAGCTCAGAGAAGGTAAGTGGCTTGCTCAGAGGCACACAGTTTATGGATCTGGGCCTCAAATTTAATTCTGTAAAACCCTCAAAACCAGTTTTCAGAATTAGGAATTGCCCACAATTCCTCTCTTGAGGGTAGAGCTCTGAGGTGCCAGCACTCAAATTTCCAAAATGTGGCTACTGGGGGAGATGGTCGAGAGTGCAAATCACTGGGCCGATTTTTATCCTCATGTATTAGGAACACAGATCAAACATTACTGACGGAGTAATCCATGCAAAGAGAAAAGAACACATTTAAGAGAACACTTAAATCGTAAACATGCAAAGAGAAACACTGAACCAAGTAGTGAAGAGTCTGCACTCAGAGGAACGGCCTTAATATTCCTTGTCTCCAGGGCCCAGCCTGGGACCCAGACTCACATCAGCTCGGGCTGGAAACGGTGGATGATGGCACACAGGGCCAGGCCACTGCTCCAGGATGTGGTCAGGTCGGTGACGTTGACATGCCGGTAGCCCTCCGTTTGCTGCTGGCACCAGGTTAAGAGCTTGCTGGGCCGGATGTCTGACTCTGCGGGGAGGTGATGGGGGTGGGGGATACAGGCCATTAGACTCTGTGGAAGTCTCAGGCAGCTCACCCTGGGGATCCCCTCCTACTGCCACCGTGGTTGGGGGCCAGGAGGGGCGACCAGTGCAGCCCTCAGAGGGCTGCTGCTGGGGGCCTGGTCAAGCATGTGGCTGGAGCACAGGATCCTGGGACTGGAAGCACCCTCTTCTCCAGCAGGGCCCCTGAGACTCACTGCAGGGCCCCTGAGACTCACTTGCCCAAGTTAGAGGCAAGGAACACAAGCCCTGCCAAAAAAGATGCTCATCATCTAGGGGGAAGACAGGTGCAGAAGGGGGTGACAATGACATGGCTGCAATGGGGGAGACCCACGTGCCCTGGGAGCATGTAAGTGGGTTTGCCCAAGTCTGCCCCGGGAGGGGAATGCACCAAAGAAAGTGTCGCGAGGGGTGCGCTCGAGCTGGTTCCTGAACTGTCTGGGAATTCACCAGACAGAGGAAGGCATTCCACGAAAGCAGAAAGGACTGTGCAGAAGGGAAGACTCCAGAAAGACCTGCCATGTTTGTGTAACAGTGAAACGGTTGATTACAGCAGTGGGGCAGGTGGTATGTGGAGAGGAAGAAAGGATAGAGAGCAGGCAAGGTCTGGATAGGCACAGGGAACCAGAGAGCTCTCATGGCAGGAGAGTCCCTGGCCAGACTGGGTACTGGGGAAGTTACACGTGAATCACCCCCTCCCCCACCACTGAGCCAAGGAAGATCAGGAAAAGAGTGAAACACATGGAGCTCATGATCCAGCTGGGGGGACAAGACCCCATGATGGAAACAATAGGAAAATGAAAACAAGTCCTAGGGCAATAGCTCCGTGGTCCACAATCACTGTGCCATGCTCTTGGCACATACAGCTTCTTTAATGTTCACAGTGGTTCTACAGGCAAGTGTTCTTTTGGTCTTAAGGATGGGGACATTGGGGGCCAAAGAGGAGGGTCACACAGGAACAGGGCAGAGCCAGACTGGCTGCAGAGCCTATCACCATGGCCACCGAGCAGGCCCCCTCTCTGCAGAGCCCCTTCCAGCCACTTGGCCAGGGTCCCAAGAGGGCCGCTTACCCCTCCTGGAGAGGCTGACAGATCTCCTCACAGAGCCCACTCTCTCGAGAGGGCAGCGGTCCAGCTCCTTAGTGATGTACAAGTGCTTTACCTGCAAGTAAGAGAGACCACATACTTGCCCACCAGTTTCCCCCTCATACTAGACTCAGGGCCTCTAGACTCCCAACTCAGCACCCACCACCTTTTTCCTCTGTTGCTGGAGGGCATGGCCTTCGACAAAGGAGCCCAAGTAGACATCACCCACCCAAATGTGGGGGAGTTCAGTGGGAAGGTATGTGGCATGTGTTTATATGTATGTAATTACTAATTATACACACACACATATATTTTAAAGGGATGAGGTCTCACTATGTTGCCCAGACTAGTTTCAAACTCCTGGGCTCAAGCAATTCTCTCGCCTAGGCCTCCCAAAGTGCTGGGATTACAGGTGTGAGCCACTGCACCTGTCTAATTACTAATTTTTAAAATTCACACCTCTCTCTAGCCTACTGACCAAAGAGACTAGGGGGTTTGATGGCTCTGAATCAACAGGACAAAAAAATAGTCTCCAGGATTAGGGGTGGTAACGAGAGAGGCTGTTTGGCCCAGCAGATTCTTTGAGAGAGGTATGATCAGTAATGCATATGCATAGTGCCAAATTAATGTATGTAAATATGACATGTACATATAACTGTTTCCATGTGTGTTCTAGTTCTCTCCTGTGGTCTACAAAGAATGTTGGCTCTGCTGGGAAGAAGAACTGTTCCTTTTAGGGCAATGGGCACTGGTCGCTTCGGTCCCAGGAATGGGCAAGAGTTTACATGACCCCCCGCATCTCATTGCTCAGTGCGGAGTGACCCACACAGGACCCAGGGGTGAAATTACCTGATGAGGCCTGACACAGTGTGAGTTGAGGTTAGGGTACCGCGTGCCCGGATCCAGTGTGTACTGCTCAAAGTTCTTGTTGATGTTCTCTGGGGTTGTCTGAGGTAACAACCGGTAAAGGCTTTCTCTGGAGGGAGGCAGAGCCCAGAGGTCAAGGATTGCTCTTGCTACCTCAGGCCTTTGTCCCCACCCTCCCCTCTTTCCCCCATTCAAGGGCTTCTCGGACGTGTTTGTATAACCCTTCCCCGAAATGCCTGACACTTGTGGTAGTTGAGATCTGCAAAGTGGTGGGGAGGGTCAAAGAGATTGAGAAGAAACGGGTGACCGGGTGGAGGGGATACTGGCTCCTCCTCTGGGCAGTAGGCAGGGATATAGGGCTGGCAGCACAGCAACCTGTGGTTTTGCTATAACCATACTTGCCACGCTGCCTCCTGTGGCCTGCCCCCTGTGGCCATTGGTCTTCACGCCCAAGCTCATTAAAGGCCTGGCTCTACCCACGAGGTCTGACTACCCCCGACCCCCCATCTACCAGCTGTCACAGCCATGTGGTCAGCAGCAGGGGTCTGGGAGGAAACCCAGGATCTCAGCAGTGGGAGATGCTTGGGAAATCAGAGGACCCAACTCCCAGCCAGGGAAGGATACTCTGCACTGGCCTGAAAGACTCCCTCAAATAAGCCTTTCTAACTCTAAGCTGAATGAGCAATGTCAGGCTTCAGGGCTACCCCAGGTGAAGATTTCTTGTTGGCATCCAGGGCTTAACATCCTGACCACCAGAGAAAGTCACTGAAAGAGGTAGACTGTCACAGAGAAAGCATCCTTGGGGAAACTTGAGGGCCTTAATCAGGCCACATGTGGGAAGAGCAACTCGAAGGGGCAGAGGCTCTAGATACACACAGGCACCACCTGATGGGTGATCTCACTCTCTCTCCTGCCCGAACTTTTGATGTGGCCCTGCCTACCTGCCCCCACCAGCGAGGAGCCCTGCTGTCGAAGCTCACCGTTCAGCCAGCAGCTCCAGGGGAGGAGTGCCCTGATTCCAGCCCTTCACCATCCATGCCGTGTCAAAGGCTGCCAGGAAGCCACGGGCACACCCTGTGCCCATTGGCCAAAATGGCTGTAAAAGAAAATGTGCAAAATTCCAGTTGATTCTAAAAACACTCAGCCTATGATCCCACTGTACCCAGCACACATTGACTGCCAAGCCCGTGCAAGGATCTAGAGGGACAGAGAGGCGACAGGCCAGGGACCCTGCTACCTGCAAGGATTTACCACAAGCTCAAATAGCTGTAGCACAAAGTCAAATGTAAAGGGTGCTATGACATAGGGGCAGCAAAACTGCTTTAGGGATCAAAAAAGCCCAAATTCCGACCCTGGGAGAAGCAGACAGAAATCAGAGTGTTCTCCCTACAAGAGTTGTATTGAGCTGATATTAAAGAACGGACAGATTCTGATCGTGATCTACTAAGGAATAGTGTGAGCAAAGGCATGGTGGCTAGAAAGCACCAGAACCTGTTGAAAGAATAGCCGTACGGTCTGGGCACAGCATAGAGCACGGGAGGGGTGTAGAGAGAGGCCAAGCTGGGAAGGGAGACTGCACCAGAAGTAGGATGGGTGCCGGGTGCTCAAAGTAGGAGCTTGAGTTCGAGCCCATGTACAATGGTGCCCAAGGACTGATTCAACCAAGCTTGGTGCTAACTAGCTTGCCCCCTAAGCACCCAAAGCATGGTTTGAAATTGGACTCTTAGCTTGGGATAAATATATTATCTTTTTTTTTCTAGTCAGTGCTTACATTAAAAATGTATCCCTTCTGAAAACAATCCTTTAATCTAAGAATCCTTGCACTTACAGATTTTCTGGGAAGAATTTTTAGCAGAGAGGCCATGAATGGAAACTGGACTCTGGGGTCCACATGCCTCTCTAGTATTGTATATGAACTTCATGCTAAAAGGCCACAAAAGGCCACCCACATGAGGAAGAAGTCTTGGCCCAACCAAGGGGCTACATGCTCTGAGAAGGATGGTCCATGCAGCCCAACCAGGGCTGCCTGACTTTGTACTTCAACAAAGAAGTCAGCACAGAAGAGCCAGGAGAGGGAGGAGTAAGCCTCCCACCCACGCACAGGCAATGCAGGCTCCTCTGAATTTAGTGAGAGGGCAGGCTCTGAGTCCAGGCCCGGCTTGGCTAAGTCCTGCCAACTGGCTGAGAGCCTGTCCTTCCCCCGCTGCATGACGGCAGACACTGCCTGCCAAAACATAATTGCAGGATGTGTCTTGTAGCAGGAATGAAGGGGTTCCAAACGCGGGAGGTACCTCGAGCAAGCTGTCACCCACGAGGGCCACGAGGAGCTGGTGCGCCTGCCGCTCCCGTACCAGGGCTGCGTTCTCCGAGGCATACATGGAGGTGAAGTCAAACATGGCCACGTCGGGCTGGCCGTAGTGGTTCATGGCAAAGTCTAAGGATGGCAGCTGGTAGTTGGTGGCAAAGTCTGCAGCTTCCCGGGCATAGGAGAGCAGGCTGTCTTGGTTCACATTTTCTGCACACAGCAGCATCTCCGTGTCGATGTAGTCCTGGGGAACATCAAAACACGGTACGGCAACCTGCCCCGCCAATGGCCAGAATTCATACCTGCTTCTTGGCAAAAGGACTGGGAATGGATCTATGCAGTGAGGCTCATTAAAACAGAAACAGAGAATCAGGGCCAAGGGTACAAAAAGGAAATCAATCAGCCAGCTGAGAGGGTTATCACCATTGTGATTAAGCATCACATTTGGCTTTGAGCTTCCCAGCATCCAAGACAAAAGGGAAATGTGATATGTCACAGGGCTCTCCTTATCAGAAAGAAGGAAGCATAGAAATTCCTCAGGGGAGGGAATTTTTTCCTGGCATTAAATTCTAAAAGATCTGTCTCATGTAGGAATTTCAAAAGAGAATGCTGAGAATTGTAATGAACATTGTACTTGATAATGGTTTGGAGCAAACAACAAGCACATTTCATATGGCTGGTTCTCACGTTAACTTTCAATGCAATTAACAGAAAAAAAAGCAAGTCAGTAAGTGTGATATTATAATGAATTGAGCTAAGCTAATGTGGTCCAGACATGCTGTGCTTGGCGGTCAAACAAGACTGGGAAAAAAATGGGTACTCGGCATAAGTCTCAGACTTTCTCTCCAGAATCAGTTACCCTTTTTCTTGATGGGCTGAAGACCACTCAGAGCTTAGCTTTGCCTTTGGTGTTAATGTTACACTTTCCTGCTGGGGTGGAGACCCCTGAACTTAGAGGACAAGGATAGTCATCCTGAGTCAACACTGATCACAAACCACAGGATATCAGGAACTGAAGAAAGTCTAGAGTATTCCCTTAGTCTAAGCTGCTCATTTTGTGGCTAAAAAAACTAAAAGACCACCTTTTATAAAGTTGACACAAAACGTATAGACATCCAGGAGGGTACAGGGACCACTGTGTAAGATAAACCTAGGCTTTGGGACCAGAAAGAGCAACAGGTCCAAGTCTACCTCTGCTGGTTACTAACTGTACATTTGGGCAAGCTCTTTTTTTTTTTGTTTTTTTGAGTCAGGGCCTCACTCTGTCACCCAGGCTACAGTGCAGTGACGTGATCACAGCTCACCACAACCTCAAACTCCTGAGCTCAGGGGATCCTTCCACCTCAGTCTTCCAAGTAGCTGGGAATACAGGCATGTGCCACCACACCTGGTTAATTTTTGACTTTTTGTAGAGATGAGGTCTTGCTATGTTGCCCAGACTGGTCTTGAACCCCTGGGTTCAAACAATCCTCCTGCCTCAGCCTCCCAAAGTACTGGGATTACAGGCATGAGCCACCATACCTGGTCACACCTGGGCAAGCTTTTTAACTTTTCCAAGTCTCTGTGTTCTTATCCAGAACACAGGCATGACACATGCTTCACAGAGCCATGCGAGGGTTGAATGAGACTGTACACATGAAATCCCTAGCCCCACGTCCAGCACGTGGGAAGTGCTCAGTAGATGGGAATTCCTGTGCCCCATAATTCACGGTGCACAAAATGTGGCATATATGCATCCTAGACCCACCCGAGGCACCCCCATTTACAAAGGCCTTAACACGTACAATCCTGCCAACTGGCTCACCTCATCTACAACCAGGATGACCTACTGGCTCAACTTTCTGATTGCCGTGAGTTCAAATGCCCTTCTCTGGAAATTCTCTACCTCCACACCCAAACCACACCCCGCAAATCGCGATCATCACTTGTTCAAGGATGGGCCCTTTGTCCAAGATGAAGTTCCTGCTATTCCTCTGGTCCCTGTTCCTATAGTCATGTGATCACTTCCCCCAGCCCCCAAAAGTGTGGTGATGAGATGGGGGAAGCATGAATAGAGAGGTCTCAAGCACCCTCCACTCCAACATGCCCTGCACATCCCTGGGGTGGAACGGGTGACATTATACAATGGAGGCAATGCCTGGTGTGGATGTCCCATGCAGGTGTGTGGGAACCTGGCAAAAGGTGCCAGCCTCCAGGCTGCACCTGGATGAGAGCCCACTTGGCCTGGAGGGTCCCAGGGGTGTAGGTGGATGGCCGAAGGAGCAGAACCATAGGGAGCAGGTGAGAACAAGGGTAGGAGGGACAAAAGCAGGGGAAGAGGCAGGGTTCTAAGCAAAGTGGGCAGGCCCAGGGAGGTCGTTCTAGGAGAAAGGTGGGGCAGGAGGCTGAATTTGGGTCCCATTTTCTACAGGCCTGCAGTACTGAGGATACAGGATTCTAGACAGAGAGGAAGGGCAGTGGAGAGGGAAGCAGTAAGAATGAGCAAAGGGTGGGGACTCAATAAGAAAAGTCACTCCAAGGCCAGGCACAGTGGCTCACACTTGTAATCCCAGCACTATGGGAGGCTGAGGCGGGAGGATCACTTGAGCCCAGGAGCTTGAGACCAGCCTGGGCAACATGGTGAGATCTCGTCTCCACAGAAATAAAAAAATTAGCCAGGTGTGATGGCAAGTGCCTGTAGTCCTATACTTGGGAGGCTGAAGCAGAAAGATTGCCCAGGAGGTGGAGGCTGTGGTAACTTATGATCAAGCCACTGTCCTATAGCCTGGGCAACAGAGTGAGACCTTGATTAAAAAAAATAAATAAATAAATCACAGTCACCCCCGAGGCATGAGCTGGGAAAAGGCTGTGGACGGAAACAGGAAGTGAGGCAGTGTCTGCCGGTGCTTCAAACGAGGGTGGACTCCATAACGGGAGATCCCCTAGGCCATGCGCCTGCCTCGTGCCTCACACAGCTGGCAGCCATACTCCAAGCTCCCTCCCACCGTGAGGAGAACCATGTCCTGGGTCCAGGAATCCCCGCCCACATGTATGGGGGCCAGCAGAGTCAGGGTCCTGGGAGGTTCTGGGGTAGGACAACTTCCTGGTGAAGAAGAAAAAGACCAGTAGATACAGCTGGGAGCCCAGAGGCATAGCTTCTTGAGGAAGAAATTTACTCTTCCTTCAGCAGCCATGGAAAGAAACCTAGGGATCAGCTGGAAAAGGTGGGGAAGCTGGTAAGGGAAACTTCTTGACCAGTCAGTCATTCAACAAACATTTACTCAGCACCTTCTGTATACCCGAAGGAAGATGTGGATCCATACAGGAGATAAAAACAGAGGACTTGTCATTCCTCTGAGGAGCAAGAGAAGAATGCAAATTTAAGTAACTCAAGGTAGATAGGCCAGACAAATGCCACAGAGCTTGACTGGATGCCAGGAGGCTCAGGCTAGAGCTCCTTATACAGTCAAGTGTCCAATTCTCCAATTTCTAGATGAGAGTCTCTGTCTGGTACCTCGAGACCCTCAGCACCAGCTCAGAAATGCTCTGAGTGCTCTGAGGGGAAGAAAAGTCTTGGTGAGGATAACCATGGACCCGGAGAGGTTTTGACAATTGTCGAGGAGTCAAGTTGCCACGAGCAATATGTCATTGCCAGGCAAATGCCCCGGGATGACCTTTGAAGGTGACCTTAGCATCCCAGGAGGCCAAAGTACTTGGCCAGTGAAACATGAAACCCAATTGCCTGACTGCCCAGTACCCTCTCTGCAAAGATGCCCACTATCTGCACCCCTACATGGTCTTTACTATCCGACAGTCAACTCTAGCCTGAGGCGGGAATTTACAGGGGGATAGGTGTGGGGCGAGGGAAGAAGGGGATGCTGTCCCCCACAGACTTCCTAGCCAGTAGTGGGGCACAGATATGAAACCCATTACCCACCCACCCATGGCTGAACTCAGCTGGCTCCACCTAGCTCCCACACACAGCCCTGTCCACAACTCAGGCTCTCTGCAAACACCTGAGCTGAGGCAGAGGCAGCCCAGGGGACAGCTGGGTTACAAGTGTTGCCCAGTTGGCTGCCAGCACCAGTGAGTGGGAAGATAGGCGCATTCTTCTCTGACAAGCTTCAATGAATGGTCACCGCGCTGCCTGGGCTCCAGGCCGACACCCGGGGAGCAGGCTGGTATTGGGCTGCATGATCCTTATCTTGAGGATGCACCTGGGAGCAGCAACAGGGGCTCTGGAAAGGGTGGCAAACCTGACCAAAGAAGCTTCCAGCCACCCCTCCATATCTTTCTTCCTTCTAGTCCTACTCTGTATTTAAATACAATGCTGCAAAGCCATGAAGCATAGGCCAGGAAGCCAGCAGGACAAAAAAGCAGGTGTTCAAACAAGGCTGGTCACTGTCCTAGGTCCTCTGTATCTATGTATTTTTTAATTTTCTCCTTCCCAGAGCCCTTTCAGACAGAAACTATTACTTTTATTTTGTAGATGAGAAGACTGAGATTCAGGAGGAATAAATAGCTTGCCTATGATCTTGAATTACTGCGTGGCAGAGCCAAGATTCAGCTCGAGTTCTTCTGACTGCACAAATAGTGAGCTTTTTCCCAAACCACAGCAAGGGTCCATCCACAGTGTGACAGTCACAGGTGAAAGCATCTCTATGTCCTGCAAGGACAAGGAGCTACCATCTGCTTCCAAATGACATGTGACTTCCCAGAGGAGGGGCAGGGGCTGAATGAGACTTGGGGAAGGAAGAGACTCAGCTGATCTGCATCAACACCTGGGTGAAGGTCTCACAAGGGATGCCACGCACCTCTCTGCAGAAAATTCTGTGTATTGGCACTGGCTCAAACAACACCAAGGGAAGATGGTGGTGAGTGGGCAGTCCTTCCCCCACCTCTCTCCTTACTCAGTGTCTGGCGGGATGTGTGATCTCACACCTGCTGATGCCACTAGCCAGCCCAGGTCACAAGGGAAAAGTCAATTGGGACACCACAGCCAAGAGGTACGTACGTTGATGATGACACCTTTGTCGAGCAGGCTCTGCTTCTTAGCCGTCATGACAAAATAGTGAGTGCTGTCCTTGTAGTAAACAATGTTCTCAAGATCAATCCCTGAAAACAGATGCAGTCACAGACTCAGTATTATGTCCTCAGTGTCAACTGTGTGCCAGGAACTGTATGTCGCTTCATTCTGAGTCTCATTATTTATCTGTAGAATATTTGTGTTTGACAAGCTTTTAGAACATACAAGAAAGAGATAAAGTAGAGTGCCAGAACTTACCCAAGTTAAAGCAACCAGCTCCTGTAGGCCCGCAAAGACATCATGTCTATTAAAACCCACAATGTCCGTATGGGCCGTGGATCAGTATTTCTAAGTTAGAGTTGGAAAACTGTAGAGAGGCCAAGGGCTTGCCACTGGCTGCAGAAGCCAAGCAACCACTCAGCTGGATTTGAACCCAAGCCTATCTGACTCCAAATCCCGTCCACCATGCCCTCTGTGCGACCATGGCTGCATGGAGCAGTGGGAATTCTCTAGAGACTACGCTAAGGGATGTTTCTACCCCTTTCCTGTTTATATGTGAAAACTCAGGTGCCACGGTAGGAACAACTCTGGGAAGATGGCTGGGTGCCATCTCACTGTACTTCCCAAACACTGCAAAACAGCTCACAGACTAGGCTTGTGCACTTAAAACCCTGCGGTGAGAGGACAGCTTAGCTCAGTAGCCCTCAAGGGGTGGTCTCTGGCCAGCCAGTAACACCTGAGAACTTATTAGAAATGCAAGTTATCAGGGACTCATCCCAGGCCTCCTGAATCAGAGAGCCTAGGATAGGGCCAGCACATTGCATTTTGACACCGTCTCTGGGTGATTATGATTCACACTCAAGCTTGAGAATGACTGGCTTAGCTTATTTGAGGGGAGAGGAAGGAACAAACCCGTGGCAACATATCAGCATTCAACACAAGGTGTGCTGGGTCACCATAGGAACACCTTTATTACAATTAAATAGGAAGCAGCCATCAGTGCAGACGGCCCCAGGGAGAATCAGTGGAAATTCACCACTGTCACTGTGTGAGGGGACCGCTGTGAAAGATGGCCGAAGGTGGCAACCTGACAGAAAGGTAAAAGGAAACTCATTGAGATGTGTGGAAAAACACATCAATTTCTATTTGGTGATTTAAGTGTTTATTTTCTTGGTTTTCGAAGGGAAGGGAGGGCTGGAGAATTCTTAAATCATTCAACAGGACATAATGCGCTGGAAGGAAATATTAAAGCTTGTAATAAAATAATGCAACTGTGGTGAAACGCAGAGGTTGGGCAGTGAGCTCACACCCTTGTGGGCAGCAAGAGGCAGAGTCTGGCTCAATAACGAATCCTTTTCTAGAAAATGGTCTTAAAGAAATAATTTAACAGAAGCAGTGTTATCTGTAACAGCAAATAACTGGCAGGCCTAAATCAGAGGTCAGCAAATTTTGTTTTGCAAAGGGTCAGCTGGTAAATATTTCTGGCTCTGTGGGCAATATGGTCTCTGTCGCAATGGCTCACAGTGGAAGCAGTCATCGATAGCAATGTAATAAATAGGTACAACTGTGCTATAATCAACCTTTGTCAATGGGCATTGAAATTTGAATTTTATACAATTTTTATGTGTTGCAAAATATTATCCTTTTTATTTTTTTCTTCAGCCCTTTAAAAATATGAAGCCAGCTGGGTGCCATGGCTAACACCTGTAATTCCAGCACTTAGGGAGGCCAAGGAGGAAGGATCGATTGAGCCCAGGAGTTTGAGACCAGCCTGGACAACATAGCAAGACTTTATCCCTACAAAAGACAAAAAAATTAGCCAGGTGTGGTGGTGTGTGCCTATAGTCCCAGCTACCCGGGAGGCTGAGGAGAGACAATTACCTGAGCCCAAGGAGTTCAAGGCTGTGGCAAACTGTGATCGTACCACTGTACTCTGGTCTGGGTAACAGAGTGAAACCCTGTCTCAAAAAAATTAAAAAATGAAAATAAATAAAAACATAAAACCATTCTTAGCTCGGAGGCAACACAAAAATACATCACCAGCCATAGTCTGCCAATTCTTGTTTTAAATGCTTTGGTGGTAACAATACATCTACTTGAGGTATCCTGCAGCCCCTAAAACTGACCATCGGAAAGACTATGTTTAGAATGTGATGTTGAATGAGAAAAGCAGAATAGCAGAATATGGACTACAATGAGGGCCGGAACTATGTAAAAAGCAAGCAGGTGGAAAATTATGGAAAAAGTGTACATAACTATGAAGATCATGTCTGCGCCAGGTGGTCAGACTGTGTCTGATTTATTTTCATTATAAAGATTTTATTTCACATTGTTAAATTGTTTAACATAGTTGTTACGCTGCCTTTCCTTTTTTTTTTTTTTGAGTTGGAGTGGCATACTCACGGTCACCCCAGCAATGTCAGCTGGGCTCTGGCGATCCTTCCACCTCAGCCTTCCAAGTAGCTGGAACTACAGGCATGTGCTACCACGCCCAGCTAATTTTTTGATTTATTGTAGAGACAACGTCTCACCATGTTGCCCAGGATGGTTTCGAACCTGTGGGCTCAAGCAATCCTCTCACCTCAGCCTCCCAAAGTGCTGGAATTAAAGGCTTGAGCCACTGCGCATGGCCTACACTGCCCTTTCAAGGAGACATATATGTATTTTAAATCAGGTTAAAAAGAAAGGCAGGCTTGGTGGCTCAGCCTGTAATCCTGACATTGGGAGACTGAGGCAAATGGATTGCCTGAGCCCGTAGGTTCAAGACCAGCCCAGGCAACTTGATGAGACCTCGTCTCCACAATAAATCAAAAACTATCCAGGCGTGGTAGTGCACACCTGTAGTTCTGGCTACTTGGAAGGCTGAGATGGAAGGATCGCCAGAGCCCAGCAGGTCGACCCTGGGGTGGCCATGAGTATGCCACTACACTCCAGCTCGGACAACAGAATGAGACTCCAACTCAAAAGAAAAAAGAAAAAAAAGCCTAGAATTGACTTAATTGGGGACAAGTGACTCATCCCTCTCTTTTCCCTTACCCTGTTTTGTTTTTCTACACTATCCTCATCCTCACCCAATGTGTGCTTATTTATTTGTGTACTGACTATCTACCCCCATAGAATACAAACTCCAGGAGAGAGGGACATCGTTTTGCTTACTGCTTTGTCTCAGGCCCTTGAACAGCATCTGGCACATAGTAGACATTCAGTAAATATTTATTGAGTGAATAAGTCAATACTTTCTATCCTCAAGGCCCTTGACTAGGTGTCAACTGATTGAAGTAAGCGTCCCGTTCCCTGGGAGTCCCTGGACATCCCTCATGGGAAAGGGCAGTTGTTGCACTGCACAAAAGCACCTCGACTTCTACAGGTATCACCCACAGGTTATTGTCTCCCTCCTCGGAATGTTCCCGAATATCATGCTGACCTTGGGCACAGCGCTGGCTATCCTGCATTAAGATATTTAGTGGGTATCCCCACTAGACAGGGAGGGATCATGTCCATTTCCAATTTGTACCCCACAATATTGAAAATTGACATATAATGGGCATTCTGTAAATGTCGACCTCATAAATAAATTTTTTTTTCCTGAGTTGGAGTCTCACTCTGTTGCCCAGGCTGGAGTGCAGTGGCACACTCACGGCCACCCCAGCATCAAACTGCTGGGGTCCGGTGATGCTTCCGCCTCAGACTTCCAAGTAGCGGCAACTACAGGTGAGTGCTACCACGCCTGGTTAATTTTTTGATTTACTGTAGAGACAAGGTCTCGCCAAGTTGCCCGGGCTGGTCTTGAATCTGCGGACTCAGGCAATCCACTTGCCTCAGCCTCCCAAAGTGCTGGGATTGCAGGCTATAAATAAATTCCTATTTATTCTATTTATCTCATTTCATATACAACATCCAGAACATTCCCTCAAGAACCTCTCTTGTTCTTGAAGGAATCTTGTGCATTTATCACTTATCCTAAGGAGAAATCTCTGATTCCACTCTGTCGGAGTGAGTCCCTCCAGTCTCAAGAGCTGGAAAGCCAATAATGCCTCTCTAAACTCTAGAAACTGTGGACCGTAGCTTGATGCTTGGGAGAAAGGTGAAGGTCCCACCTGTTTCTTCTTTAAGGTCCTGAAAAAATTTCTGATTGAAGATGAAAGCCACACCGCTAATCTCTTCCACCTTGGCCTCAGCTGTGCTGTTTCTGTTTATGAAGTTGGCGGTGATTGCAATAGCCAGCTTCCCACGGAATTCTTTTCTTCTGAACCCTGCGTGAGGAGACAGGAAAAAGTGGGTCTATCTTCTGGAAGTGGTGTGAAGACTGAAAAAGATTACCAAGAAAGCTATCCTCAAATGCCCCACAGGCTACTGAAACTAGAACCTTGAAGCTTTAGAGGACAGCAGCAGGCAGAAATACCAAGAAAGAAACATGTCACTAGAGGTCTTGCAAAGTCAGTGGGACTTTGTCCTTTTCTAAAACCTATAGTATCTGGTTAGGCTTCAGCATACTAAGGGTGCAAGTGACCATCCCCAACAGGCTACCACAAAGCTCACCCTTTTAAAGATGTTTCAGGCATTGTTGCTAGAGATACTTACGAGAGACCCGCATGCACTTTGAACTCACAGGATTAAAACTACTTTGTTGGCATTTTTCATGTTTTTTTTCCCCCTTTTGAAAAGTAGGATTATTAGATTGAATTCCTGCAGGACAAGGATTTAATATATTTTCTTTGTATCTCCAATTGTTATAGGTTGTATTGTTGAAGATGTTGTTCATATGTTAAGTCCTCACCCCCAGTACCTCAGTAAGTGACCTTATTTGGAATTAGTGTTATTGTAGACATAATTAGTTAAGATGAAGTCATACAGAAGCAGGGTGGGGCCTTAATCCAATATGGCTGGTGTTATTCTAAAAAGGGGAAATTCGAAGACAGAAACACACAAGAAGAACGTCATGTGAAGTTGAAGGCAGAGATCAGGATGATGCTTCCACAGGCAAAGAACACCAAAGATCACCAGTAACCCCAGAAGCTAGGAGAGGGACATAGAACCCATTCTTCCTCACAGCTCTCAAAAGGTACCAATTCTGCTGACACCTTGATCTTGGATTTCCAGCCTCTAGAATTGTGAGACAATACATTTCTGTTGGCTAAGTTCCTCAGTTTGCGGTACTTAGTTAGGGCAGCCCTAGGAAACTCATATACAAATTCTCAGGGATGAGCTCTCAGTACTCACTGAATAAATGTATAATGAATAGACAGAATTCTAACTAGCAGTTAATTTAGTACTCCAAATCTTCAGAAAGCTTATCATTTTCCGTGATTCACATTAACATTGCTTTTGAGTGGTGGTAACACAGAGGATCACAGCAGATGGTCACTTTTCAACAGTGTCTCCCTCCTAATCACCTGCTTGCTGGCATCTGACCATTCCTGCAATTCCAGGTCCCCTGCCTCCAGGCATGCTGGGTGCTTTGTGTAATTCCAGGTGTCTATCCACAGGTGCAGACTCTCAGGACATGACCTTCCCTCAGCTGCCTTTGGGAAGCCCCTGCACATCTGCTCATACTGTACTCCAGGCTCACACTGATTCTTGGTCGCCTCTATCAACAGTTTCTTTGACTTGAGAACCTTGAGTTTCTATTCAATACCCCTCCTTTGTATCATTCTTCATTACACCTTTGTCCAAAAGGCCAGACACTGCCATTGTTCTTTAGTCTAGCATTTCTCGACTGGGGGTGATTTTTCCTCATAGGTGCCACTTGGCAATATGTGAAGACATTTGTGGTTGTCACACCTGGGGATGCTACTAGTGTCTAGTGAACAGAGGCCAGGGATGCTCCAAACATCCTACAATGCACAAGACAGCCCCTAACACAAAGAATGACATGACTCCAAATGCCAATAGAGCCAATACCGAGAAATCCTGCTCTGGTCTATCCAGGTGGTTCTGACTGACTCAAAAGGCTCATCCTTCCCACTGTTCTTTCCATGTCCATGAAATGCCAAACTGTACTCAAGCTACAATAGATCCTGGATTTCCAAATCTACAGATTTACATTTTTACCAAACCACCAACGTAACCCATACATTCTAATAGTATGGCATCCAGGTTGGCTGCTTAAAAATTCCCTGTCCGATGTTGCTTCATGATAGTGGGAGGTGGCTATGGAAGGGAAGCGAGAAGGGTGGGACCAATAGCCTGGCTGCATGGTTAGATGGGAAGGGCTCTAGCTAGGCGGCCCACACATCCTGAGTCCTCCAAGATCAGCCCTGTTCCAGGGGATATGTCCTATCCTCAGAGGATGTGCCCTTTCAATCAGGCATCTGCAGCCTGTGGCCCTGGAGGGGGTGGCTCCAAAGGCAGAACTACCTCTAGTCTACGGGATGCCATGTAGGGCCACGTTGTTTACAACTGTGGTCCCCAGCGAGCACAGTTAACCTGTGGACTGGTCAGTCTTGGAAGGGTAGAGATAAAGGAAGTTTTTCCTGGTACTGGGTTTTCTCTCTCAAACTGTCTGGATCTCACTGCAAAGAGAGCAAGTGATATGTCCAGCTTTTGAGCTCAGAGAAACATGACTTCGCACCTTGACAGTTTGGCAAGACTTACATGCCCAGCAGTGGGTGTGCTGAAAAGTTATGAAAAGAGACAGCTCCTTCTTCAAGTGTAAGTAGTAATACACTTAAAAGTGAACGAATCCCGTTACTAGAATGAAAACGTTTACCTTACACCAAGTATAAAGTGCTTAGCACCATGGCATGCACATTTCCACATACTAGTCCTTTCCCAGCCCTCATCACAACACTCTGAGAGTGTCCTGCTCTTGACAGTTGAGAAGACTGAGGTGGAGACGGAAACAAATGGCTGTCCTCATACTCTGAGCCTCATGGGAGGATGGGCCACTCTACCTCAGGAAGGACAGGACAGTCTGCCCTTCTATCCAGACCCCCATCCAGCTTTGGCACCCATTATCTTGCCCACCTTCTCCACCACTCACCCCCCCTCCATATGCCCCCTCATCCCTAACCCAAAAGGAACAGCCTTCACCTTCCAGAGTGCTCCTGCGGCCATCGGCACCAATGATGACGTCAAACTCAAACTCCGACAGAGAGTGATCTGCGGGGAGGAATTCTGCCCGCCAGCCAATTTCTACCAGGACAGAAACATAAGATGAGTTGACAGAGAGGGGTGGGAAGAGAGATGATTATAACACCTCTATGCTGGCCGTGAGAAATGGATGGTGCAACCAGGTATATGCATCCCGGGCAGAGCCTCCAGAGGAAAGGGCTAGAACTGCCCAGATTCCCCCTCAAGTTCAGACCAGGATGAAGTAAACCAGCAACACCAACTCCATGCCTGGTTTTACTGGTCTCTACTGGGAGACTATTCTCAGTGGTTCTCAAACTAGTCTCACTTGCACCTTATTTTTCAAGAGATTCTACCATGTTCTCTTCACAGGCTCCCATATTCCTCAGTGCCTTCCATTGCTAAATAGACTCAAAAGAATGTGCAGGGTGTAATGAGACCAGTCTTAATTTCTGTTTCATATTCAACATGTTCTCTTGTGTGGTATACTGTCTTTTGCTAAAACCTTTTCAAGTGAAGCCTGGCTGGTTACCCAAAATTAAGATTTACTGTCCACTAGAGGCTTGGAAAAAATTAGGAGCACATAGTCTCTGTATGCTAAGTAATGAATACTGTCCTGCTGCAAAAAGTAACTAAAGCCTCCTCCTGAATCCTCAAATATTCTGGGCAGAGGACAGGGTTACCCTCAGGAAACTACGAGGTCTTTGGCACTATGCTGGCCCCAAACTCAAAGCCCTTTCCAAGCAGTAGAAGATTTTGAAAGTAAGATGCAGAGGCATCATGAATACCACTCTCTGACCATGGTATGTATATAAGGTGAGAACTTAAATAGTCATACTAAAAGGAAAAAGAAAAGCATGACTAACTGAGACCTATTTATATAGATGGACTTTACAGTTTACAAATTATACTGTAATGGTTAAAATATAGTTAAGATATTATATACTAAATAATATCCTGAACTTTATTTCATGATTGCTCTAGAAACTTCACTTTCTTTTTTTTTGAGTTGGAGTCTCACTCTGTCGCCCAGACTGGAGTGCAGTGGCCGCTCCCGGCCACCGCAGCCTCGACCTGCTGGGCTCCGGTGATGCTTCCGCCTCAGCCTTCCAAGTAGCCGGAATTATAGGCATGCACTACCATGCCCGGCTGATTTTTTGATTTATTGTAGAGATGAGGTCTCGCTGCCCAGGCGGGTCTCGAACCTGCGGGCTCAGGCAATCCACTCACCTCAGCCTCCCAAAGGCGCAGGATTACAGACTGAGCCACCAAACCCAGCGAAACTTCACTTTTTTTACTGGATTTTAAAACATCTTGTGAGTATAATTAGTGCATCCACATATCTAGGTATGAAACTTGCCAAAGTAGTATCCTCTAGGCACAGGGTAACCAAATCATACGTTTAATGGCTTAATAATAAATCTCCTGGGAGCTGAAGAGCCATGGTCAAAAAGCGTAAAACATCCTTCAGAGGAATGACGCCAGACAGCTCCAAGTAAGAACAACTCCTCCAGAAACATCCTCCGGCAACTGCAAATGTGTTTCCATTTGCAATATCTGATTTCTAGACAGAAAAGGAAATCGATACTCTACTTTGATTTTCTTGATCTTCAGGAGGCTCTAGAACCTTCACAAACTCCACATTCACATGGATTTCAACCCCCAACATCAGGGCCACCTTGAATAGGATGAGCTGCAGTTGACGAATACCTGTCAGGAAGGAAGGAAGGAGAGAGATGAACTGCCCGTAGCAATGCCTGAGTGCCTCTTGCGTGCAGAATACTGCACAATCACCACTGCTCTGTGATCTCTGAGCCCAGCAATACAACAACAGTGATCAGCCTTGAGCGCTATTTTAGGTGCAAAGCACTCTGTGTTTTCTCATTTAACCCTTGGGATCATTAGCCTCATTTTATAGATGAGAAATTGAGACTTAACAAGGTGAGGTGACCTGCCTGAAGTCACATAAGCAGTAAAACTAGCGTGTGGACCCAGGCCTGTCTGATCCCAAGATCCTGCGCTAGCCGTTAGATAATGCTTTGGTGAGAGAGGCACTCTCTTTCTGGCCTCTTTCCCCAGCTAGGGTCTGGGTTTGATGAGTGCAGATGCAGAGAGGAGCAAGCAGAGAGTAAAGGAGCATAAGTCAAGTCAGTGGTCAGTGACTCACTATACGGGGCCTCTGCCTCAGCTCTTGGTCATCCTGTGGTGAGGGGTGGGGTAGGAAATTCTCCCCCCAAGCCAGGCCATGGTTCACCATCTCTAATCCACTCTTCAAAACTCCCCCAATGAGTGGAACCTCATTTCTTGATTTTGTCTCCGGCCATTCAGCATAAATGGGGTTGCCTCCAAGTATTTTTATGCAAAGTGAGAAGTTTTAAACTTTCCGTGGGCCCCCCCGTATTTAGTGGGCTTAGCTCATTTAACATTTTTTTGAGTATCTACCATGTGCCAGGTGTCATGCTAAGAGACATGGAACATACCTTTTAATGGAGGGAACAGAGGTAAAGAGAATGGGGCAGGGAATGGTGTTGGGGGAGGGGGTGGTAGTGGCAGAACAGGGCCTGATCCAGGGTCCTGAAAGCCAAGAGAAGAGGGACCATCCCATAGAGAGATGAAGAACTATGAAGACTACAAGAGGCCAGGGTACTTGGGGGTTAGGAAGCTTCTGGAGACCTTGGTGATCTCTTCAGTGCTGTGGTAGGAGAAATCAGACTGCAGTCTTGGAAGGTGTCAATGGAAAGTATATGCCAAGTCTGCACATCCTCTTTCTAGGATAAATACTTTGAAGCAGGAAAGGAAACGGGGCAACAATGGAGGCCTGAGGAGGAGGCATGAGGTGAGGAACAGGAGGACTCAGTGATGGGCAGAAAGTGGGGAAGGAAGCCAGAGAATCTGGAGTCAGAAGGGAGGCAGCCAGCTCTGCTCTGATGTGGGGTGGGAGGAAGGAATGGGTGGCAGAGAAGGGAAGTGGGGCTGGAACAGGGTGCCGCCAGTGGCTGCTTTTCCCCAGAGCCTAGGAGGGAGGCCATCTGCTAGAAACAAGGAGGCTATGCTGGAGGTTTGGAGCAGCTACAGTGGGAACTGCAGAAGGACGCAAAAACAAGACAAATCAAGGACTGCTGAGCACTGAGGACACGGCTGGGCTGGAAAGGAAGCCAGTCTGCTGGGGTTTAAAGAACCCGACCCACCTTCTGCCATGAACCATCCTTCCAGGGGAGGCCTGGCCGCTCCTTAGCTTCCTAGGCTAACTGGCTTGAGCACACAGTAGATGCTCAATAAATTCTCCCTGCCTCCCTTCTCATGGGTACCAGAGCTACCCTCGACAACCATTCTTCTGGCAGCCTCAATCTCATTTCCAGATTCCTGCCAGCACATCTGCATGTTAAGGCACTTCCATGGGCTAGGCGTTAAATGAGAGCCCCATCACTGAGACAGAGAGGGGCTCCTAGCCAGGAAACCAGCCCAGCTGCCCAGGGCCCTCACAAGACCTCCTGGTGCTTAGCTCTGCCGGTCACAGGGACTTGATGAGAAAGAGGTGCTCAATGTTGCCATTCTAAATTGGTCACTGACATACATTCTTCCGTGGGTGGCAGAGAACATTCTAAAAGCTGACACTGCAGCTTTCTAAGCAAATCCAAATTTCTTTCCGTTGGACTTCTGGAATTTTCTCATCCCAAAGCGGGAATAAACTCTGGGGCCACTGCTGGTAATTCCTCTTGCGTCTGAATGAATTACACCCCATGTGGCTGATAATTTTCTCCAGTCATTCCCATCAATTCTTGTCCACATAGAGAATGTGGTCTCAGCACTGTCCTCTCACCCCTCTCCACAGAAAGACACCGGTTGTGGGAGCAGCTCTGGGTTCTGAAGTCTGGGGACTGTGGCTGCTTCTTCCTTACTGTTGACCATTGGATGCAGAACATTTTCCTGAGCACCTACTATGTATGCCAGGCATAGTGCTAAACACATTACACACTTGACCTCATTTAATCTTCTTAGCAATATTGAGAGACAGGAATTAGTCACAGCTTACAGGAGATAAAATTGAGGTTAGAAGAGGGTAAAGAATTTGCCTCAAGTTGGACAGAAATGGAAAGAACAGATTTTGGACTCAGAATCTGTTAACCTCCTGGGCTTTTGTGGGTGACTATTGCTATAGATTTGTCCCTCGATATATGCAGGGGATTGGTTCCAGGACCCCCAAGTGTTCAAGAATCTGTGCATACACAAGTCAAGCAGCCAGTCCCACAGAACCCAAGTATAGGTAAAGTTGGCCCTCCGTATAGGTGGGTTGCCATCCTTCAAATACTGAACTTTTCATCTGCGTTTAGTTGAAAAAAGCCCATATATAAGTGGACTCTTGCAGTTCGGGCCTGTGTTGTTCAAGGGCCAACTTTGTATAAAATGGCAGAGCTGCATGGAAGAATGTGCCTGTCCAAAAACCCGTCTGTACAGACCTTGTCCCGAGAGACCCAGGCTTACACAGCATCAGGGCAGAAGGGTCTCAGCGCTCATCTTACCCTGTGTAAGCTTTCAGGGATGGTCCAGGACCTGAATCTGTGTTCTCTACTTCCCTTCATACTCTGGCTGAAGGCCCATTATGATGCTCTCTCACTTTCTTTTTTTTTTTTAAAGCAGGATTTATTGAGCAGACAGAAAAGCTCCCACAGTGGGAGGGAACCCCAGGGGGTTGCCCCTCTCCCTTTCTAAAGCTCAAGTTTTTAAAGCTGTGCTATGGGATCTGTCAGCTAACATGCATCCAGTCATGTCATTCCTCTGTTCTAGAACCTGCCATGGCTCCAGCACCGGAAGCACAATGTGTAAATGTCTTTGCATGGAGAGTCTCAACTTTCTGGCCCATGGAGCAGTTTTGTGTGGCTTCCTCCTCTGAACTCTCCTAGTAAGTGTGACAACTCTATTAAAGCACATTTTACTACTCACAAAATCTTGGTGAACTCCCTGAGGGTGCAGACTATGCTATTTACCTCTTCAGTTTTCCTGTATCATTCATTCATCCAACAGATGTTTATCAAGCATCTTTATGTGCCGGTACTCTCTTATGCCTGAAACATTCTGGTGATGAAGATATGCCACAGTCCCTGACCTCATGATGCTTACAGCTGAGTGGGATGTGGCATAGGACCTAGAGAATGGCCCTTCTCTAAGAGTTCACTAGTTGCATGTATGAAGCCCCCAGGATCTTGCAAGACAGAACAATCTGGGGACTCTTAGATATGGAGAGATATGTCCCATCCAGCATCAGCCCCCTCCCTTCATGGGGTCCCACCACAGGCTCCACTCACTGATGTGGTCGATGGAGCCGGCACAGAACTTCCCGTAGAACTTCTTGGCTCCCAGGCCCCGCAGGTCGTGGATGGTGAAAGGCCAGAGGTGCAGCACATTGTTCCGGGAGAAGGTATCCCTCTTTTCCACCACAACCACTTTGGCTCCCAGGTAGGCGAGTTCAATGGCAGTGCGCAAGCCACAGGGTCCTCCTCCAATGACGAGACACTGCAGAGGTAAGAGAGGAGAGAGACTCTTGGTAACCTCTAGCATCACAGACACGGACCCCTAGTCAGCAGTGAAACTGAGGCACAAATCTCAGTCTACCTGAATCAACCAACACGTGAAAGCTGTGCACCTAGTAGTAGCTGCTAATTCAGCCTATATACCACCATCTTCAGCAAACCCTAAAAAGGTATTAAAGTAAGCAAAAGAGTATAGACATAAAAATGTCAGGTCAAGGTGTAGCTTATGAGATGGGAAGAAATGGACTACATTTTCTAACCCTAGAATGTTCACGACTATGCTTATGAAACATAAGAGTTAAAGGAGGATTTACCAGGTACAGTACCTGTGGGCCTACCATGTACCAGCCACTATGCCAAGCCCTGTGAGGGACGCAGGGTGGAGGGACTTGGTGAGGAGGCACATGAGCTTCACAGTCCAAGTGAACTGGGTCTAAATCCCAGCTCTGGCATTTGACTGCTTAGTTTCCTGATCTGTGAAGTGGGTCTACTGCTCTTTCCTCAGAGAGTTATTGCAAATAACATCACTTTTCAAAAGCTTATGGTACATGTTTGTGATCTTGGATTAGGCAATCGTTTCTTAGAAAAAAAAACTGATAAACTGGACTTCATCCAAATAAAAACGTTGGTGCTTCAAAGGCCATTACCAAGAAAGTGAAAAGACAACCCTACAGATGGGAGAAAATATTTGCAAATCATACATCTGATAAGGGACTTGTATCCAAAACATATAACAAATCGTTACAATTTTTTTTTTTTTTTTGAGTTGGAGTCTCACTCTGTCGCCCAGACTGGAGTGC